AAAGAGGTGCAAGCAGCTACGTAGCGATGGTGCGTGTGAGAGTGGTGCTGCCAACTGTGGCGGTGCTATGGCAGGTGACATGATTGAGTTTTTGGGACTTCGAGACAGTGGCGGTGGTGCCTCATGCATGCACCACTTCACTGCCGCGTTGTTCAACGTGGTGGAACGTAGGCTGGCGGTGGTGAACGCTGGCGACCTTGTGAGCGGTCTGTGGTGGGTGTGTTACTGATGGCGATGGTGCGAAGGCAGCCACGTAATTGTCTTTCCGGCGCCTTGATCACGGTACGATGCCTATCAAAAGTGCTTGAGTGGGAGGCGCCTCTGCGTTTGGCTTGGACACGGCCGCCATCGCACCATCGCCATCAGCAATATACCCACCACAACCCGCTCACAAGGTCGCCCGCGGTCACAACCGCCAGCTCTACGTGCCGCCATCACCACATTGATCTTGTTCACGATGCATGACGCGCTGGTGGTACAGTACATAGACCGATAGGTAGGTAGTGGCAACCCTGGCTGGGGCGAGGTCGCCTTAGTTGGAGCGGTAGCTGGAGCAATTGTGTTGCAAGAAATCATTGTGCATCACATGACGTGGATGGCGTTTGTCATGGGAAGTGCCTTGGTAGTGGGCCTAGTGGCACATTAAGTAGAGGAGACGAATCCTTTCGCACCACCGATACCTCTAATGCAAAATGATACAGGAATATATTGCTCATGGGGCAGGTGCTGACGAGGAGGCTTTAAAGGGTCAAACCCCCTCCCGACAATCTCTACCACGCGGCAGGTGGACTTGATATCGCAAACACTCAAAAGCAGGTGCGCTCGCTCGACACTGCTGCACCGTCTATTCATGTCCAGTGGCGAGATTGTCCCAGCACCTCTTGTTTTGGGCCACGTGCGGATTCTTCAGGCATTTCATGTCACATCTCCAGTGCCGTAGACTCCATCGGCTCGATGGTTCTGGTTGGAGTGCAAAGATCATAACACATCCAGAGTCCTGTTGATTTCATGCTCACACGTCATCGTCGCAGTACAAAGTGCAGATTTGGATTATTCCGAATGGATGGGTGCCTAGAATTTGTAAAGAAATCACTGAGAACTTCCAGAAGTGGAGCACACAGTGCAGCGCCTGGTCAAACCGCCATCAAAGCGGGCTCCAACGCATGTCTGCCGAAAGACCCCATTCTGTGCGGGCGGCGGCAACCGAGCCATGCAGCATTCGTATTTTATGTATTGGTTTTCTAATGTATTGTAATATTTAACATTTGCTTTTGTCGTAGCCTATACATGTAACATTGTCGCGAATTCGCTTATTCGCCACGACCTCGCGCGTTTTTCCTCGTGGGGGATGGAAGCGATGGCATAACTCGTGGGTGTGTTGACTCCTCTCCCATGCGACAAAACGACCGTCCGGAACGTTCGTTTAGAGGAGCTTTTCCATCAGCAGACAACACAGCGCAACATGTCTTGCGCATGTCCCAGACAACAGGGTGTCTTGGTTCATCCTGGGCTTGCCCGCATGTCTCCGGTCGTGTGTTTTTATTGTGCGCGAATTCGATTCACGAGACAACGACGAGATCCCATTGGTGCATAAAATGTGTGTTCGACCAATCAAAAGGGAGAATCCTCGCTTGACTTCGGTGGAGGCTTAGCGAGGCCTCTTCCGAACCTATTTCAGGAATGCTCTCACCACATCTCAACTTGCCATCACGAGTACAATGCTACGAGCTACAGCACTCCTTGTCGCTACGAGCGTCTTCAACGTGGTCGCACAGGGCGCAACACCGGTCTGTTCCAGCGCCGCGTTTGCTGCACAAACTTCTGTTCCTATCGGACCGTTCTCGGTGCGCAGTCTCGTGAATGGAACCCGCATCTGCATCGAAGTCAACTTTGCTAGTACAACTGCCAAATGGGCAGCACTGTCGCTCGCGAGATCTGCCAACATGATCAACGTGCCCAACGGAAACGCCGTCGTGTTTGACTCAGTCAAGAACTCTGTCAACTTGCACGAGTTGAAGGCGTATTCGGTCGCTGGCGTGCCTCTCCAGGCGGACCAGTCGGGACTAGCAGTTCACAAGACAAGCAGCACCAACGGTATCCTCTCGTTCACCTTTGAGCGAAATCTCGTTGCTCCATCCATCTACGATGTCGACGTCGACCCCGCAGTAGAGTCCAATCTACTTTGGGCGCACGCCGACACTGCGTGGCCGTCTTTGCACACCGACAGAGGTGCAGTCAAGTTCAATTTTGTTTTGGGATCGCTGACGACAGCTAGCGCGGATGCTGGGAGTTTTGCAGCCACAGCCATCATCGGCGCAGTGACATTTGGTTGCATGGTACTGCTGGGGCTTCTTGCCACGCACATTGGGCGTGATTGGCACTGTATCAACCATCGCACGGTTTGTCCTCCGTCACAGCACCGCACGTCGCTGTCTTGGATCAAGTTGCCAATTTCCGATCTCAAGATTGGCGAAGCGATCGTTGTCTTCTTGTACGTGGCGTGCATTGTCGCGGTCTGTGTGACTGTCAAGAGCAACTTTCCCACAGCGAGTAGCAGCCGCCTGGTTTCATTAATCTCTGGCCATATCGCTCTGGTGGCTCTCATGTTTCTGCTTCTTCCGGTTGCCCGGGGGCAGCACTGGGAGGTGGTGTTTGGCACGTCCCACGAGCGAATCCTCAAGTTTCACCGGTGGCTCGGACGCGTCTGGTTTGTTGCCTGCACTGTGCATCTTGTACTCATCGCGGTCATCACGGACGTGACGTCGACCAGGTTGTACGGGAGTCAGCAAGTCGTGCCGCTGTACGGGTTCATCGCGTTTCTCGCGTTTGCGTCGATGGCGCTGCTGGCCATCGACTACGTCCGCCGCACATTTTACGAAGTATTTTACTACTATCACCGCGTCGCGTCCATCGTGGGTCTCGTCTTTGCATTGCTCCACAGCCGAGCAGTGCAATACGCCATGATCTTCCCCCTCGTGATGTACGGTCTGACATTCCTCTTCCGCCTGCGCACCTACCTCAACCGGTACGCCACCGTGCCAAAGATATCCAGCTCCAACACTGTCGTCATAACGCTTCCCGCCACGTCGCAGTCGACCAACTGGGCGCGCACTGCCAACCCATGCTCGTTCTTTTGGATTAACATTCCCGCTGTGTCGCTTTTGGAGTGGCATCCATTCTCGGCGATCGTGACCCCCGACGGCCAGTCGATTTCGTTTTGCATCAAGGCGCACTCCCCCGGGTCCTTTATCGATCGCGTGTATCAGCACGTCAACGACCACAAGGACGCTGCGTTGACGGTGCTGGTGGATGGACCCCATGGCAAGCCCGCCATCAACATGTACAGCTACGACGCGGTCGTGCTGGTTGCGGGGGGCATCGGCATCACCCCCATGCTCAACGTGATCAACCGCCACCGCCACCAAAACGTTCACACGACGACGTTTCACTTGCACTGGGTTGTTCGGACGACCGACGACATCTTGGCCGTCGAGGACCTCATGTTCCCGCTGCCGGACGGTGTCAAAGCCACCTTCTACGTTACGGCCCCTGCGGACAAGACGATGGACGCGACGTCGAACTTGCAAGTTCACACGGGCGACTACATCCCGTACACGCAAGGGAAGCCGATCTTGGACGAATTTATCAACACAGGACGGTACCACGGCACCAAGGTCGGTGTCATGGCGTGTGGCCCTCCGCGCCTCGTGCAAGAAGCGCAGTGGCGCAGCCACAACTGCTGGTTTGATTTCCACAAGGAAGTCTTTATCTTTTAAGAGAAACGAATGTGACATATTTCCATCCTCGTCCATGGGCCACAGCTTGGCGATGCGATCGGGGGGGCTTGCGTGCCTAACCACAGCTGCACCACGTTACATCGCAGCGCCCACTGGAAGTTGGTAGCTTGGTGCGTGAGGAAAAGAAGCTCTTCTGATAAGCGTCAAATGATTCAGACATTCCAGGCGTTCCATGGCAGTAAGGAAGGAATACTCGTTTAAATGAACCAACTTTGGACATCCCTAAACGAGGTTATCGAACGCGCAAAGCGTGGATCACTTGATGGAAACGTGCTCCATACTTCACTTGTGTGTGCGCTTTGACGGAGATGCGGGGGGTGCCCGAGCGACGACGCACGCAATCTCGCGCGAAGGGCTTAGCATGCTGGAGGGTAGCAAGCATGGTCACCGTCGCGGTAGCGCTTGCCCAAAGGTCGTGCACGACCTGTTGGTGCACAAACTTGACAACGGCTTCGTGGAAGGAGCGGCCGGTTGCAAGTCGACCAGACAATTGAATCCAGCGACACGTCCACCATGCGAATGACTGAGGTGAACAGCGACATTTGATTACGTTTCATGGGCACTCGACAGGACAAAGGGCGGCTCGACAGTCTCGGCACTCGAAATGGTTGGCCCACTGGGTGAAATCACAGACGGCTTGGACTTGGTCCATACTTCAAACGCAAATCTACCACCACATCATTCCTTGCATCGAAGTCGTTGGATGTTTATACCTCGTTCCGTTGTCGTCGTGTTCGTCGCGCGACTCGAGCACGTCGAAATAGTGTTGCCACGGAGGAAAGAACGTATCGCCTGCTACGTCCAACTCGACGCGAGTGAGGAAGAGCTTGTGTGCGGACGCGAGCGACGCTTCGTAGATTGTCGCGCCCCCACAGATCCACACTTCTGGGAGGTTGCGCGCTGCTGCAAGGTCGAGTGCATGGCTATAGCTTGTCGCGACTTCCGTGTGCGGTGCACTCTTGCCTTTGGCATGCCATGACTTGGAAATGAGAATGACCGGTCTGTTTGCGTTGGTCGGGTATTCCTCGGCCGAGATCCGTCCCATGATGCACGTGCGGCCATCCGTCTTGTCCAAAAAGTACTGCCAATCCCGTGGAATGCTCCACGGCAACGTGCCATTGATGCCAATTACGCGATTTCGGGCGCACGCAGCAATGACGTTGATCTGCATCGCCAAATACTTGGTGGCTTACGACCTGGACGACGCCAACTTTGGCGAACACTGCTGAAGGATGTCACGTGAAAGACGTGTTTTTTTATGCGTTATACCTGAAGAAACCAACCTGATTGGTCCTTGTTGATGCGTTTTATTCCTCAGTACAGGCAATCGACGTGCATTCCTGTGACTTGCCCCTGGATGTTGGCGAGCCGTTTCAAGCTGTAACGGGTTGACGACTCGAAACGCCAGTGGACGACAGACCACCACGACATGACAGCGTCGCGGGGGCTAGATGCCAAGGAATACAACGCGACAAAGCAGGCTGTGCGACAGCTCAAGCTCCAAGTGACGGCTGGCAATGACAAAGCGACGAGGGACGAGGTTGACGCGACCATGTCGTGCCGTTTCTCCAAATGCTTGCAAACATGCCAGCACGAGATGGAGGCTGCATTAGCCGAACACACCGTGATAGTTCGAACGTCCGGTATTCGTCCAGGACGGGAAAACATTCTCGTCGAGCACGTCGAAGCGATTCGTGTGGCGCACGCGCAAGGCCTGGCGAAAGTTGCTGAGGCGTACAAATCAATGGACTTACAGTGGAAGGCTCAGCGTCACAATGACAATTTGTCCCATCAAGTCGAGCTGGAGACCCTAGCATTGCAATTGGCTGAGCGGGAAAAGGACATGGACCAGTCGCAGCAGAAAATGGAGACGCAGCACTTTGAAGAGCTTGAAAGGCTCACTCACACGTTTGACGACAAAGTCGTCGAAATCCAGAAGCTTTGCAACGATAAGATTGCACACACAAACGAAACTTGTGAAGCCACGATCGCCGCAGTCCGAACCAAAATGAAAGCGTGGAAACACGCGTTCGAAATCAAGGTGAAGGACGCGGTTCATGCAAAGATCGAGCATCTGAAGGTCCAGTCCGAGCACGAGCTCAAAGTGGTCATGACTCAACTGGACAAGGAAGTACATGCACTCAAGGTAGCACTGCACGAATCGAGGCAGCATGCCAAAGAGGTAGAAGGCCACGTTTGCGAGCTGACGAAGCAACTTCAGCTAGCCAAGGAGAACCAAGACTCTGCAGCGGAAAGGTTCCTTGAGTTGGAGCAACAACTAGCCCACGAGCGCGCGCAAGTGAGTCACCTGCGTCACGTCAACAAAGAAATCGATCAGACCTGTCAAAATCAACGGCAAATCCACGAAGAAGAGAAGCGGCGACTTGCTGAGTTGCAAGCTGCAGCACAAACCCGAGCGGAGCAACAGATTCAACTACGGCATGAGCAAGAATTGGAAAAGCTGCATGATCGAGTGCGCCAGGCGATCGCAACCAAGTCGGACATCATCACGCGGTTGGAAACCCAAGTCGCGGATGCCCTGTCGCGAGCCGAGTCGTCAGAAGCGGTTTTGATGCAGCTCAATTCGGACATTCAGAGCTGCGGATCGCTCAGTCAAGCGCCGTGCAAAGAAGCTTTTCAGCTAAATTTATCGTAACCATAACAACCAAAGGGATGAGTTTTCGGCGGCACGATCTCGTCCCTCTACTTCTAGACGCACCAGCGAGGATCAGGATTCGATGGTGCCGCCACGCACGACAATGATGGCATTAAATAGGTCGTTAGAACCCGAGATTCGTGAGCCGCTTTTGCAGCCGTTCTCGGAGGTATTCCGCGTTGGGCGTGTATACGCACGCGTCGCCGTTGGCAAGCCCGACCACGAGATGCATCTCGTCTTTGGACAAACAGATCGAATGGATCGCGCTTTGAAACCCACGCGTCGCTCTCTCGCTGCCGTCAAATTCCAGCACAACGTGCATGTCGTGGAGGCGATAGACCACCACGGTTTGGCCGCGACCCCCCACCATGGCATACTGACCATCCTGCGACACGGTCAGCCAAATGACGACGACCATGATCGAAGAGTACCTTGGTCAAGTAAAACGCTTGCAGCTTCTGGTCGACGTGTGTGCTGGACAGCGCTTTGCCATTGATCGAGTACAGATACAACGTCGAGTTGGACTCGCAATACGTCAGAATTTGGCCGGTCCGCGTGAGCCCAACCCACGCCAATCGAGCGCGGCGACTCCCAACCTTGACCGGGCGTATCGTTCGCAAGTACCGTCCGTTGCTCAACGTGTGCACGATTACCGTGCCGTCGCGACTGCTGCTGATGACCAAGTTGAACGAGATCGATACGGCAACGCATGTGATGCCGTCGTCGTGGCCGTACAGCGTGTGGTGCGGCACCATCGTATCGGCCTTCACGTCAAACTCCCACACCTACGACAAAAATGAACTATAGACTGGAACGCACGGCAAATGGATGGCGCATACCATGACCGTGTTGTCGCTGGAGCCGCTCACTAGGTATGCTCCGTCTTCGCTGAGTGCAATGCATGTGACAACGTCATGATGGCGCAGCAACGTTTTGATGGTGCGACCCGTCTCGAGGTGGGTCATGCGGATGCTGTGGTCCCAATGGCCACACGAAAACACGTGCTTTCGAAACGAGACGAACAACGAGCTGGACAATACGATCGCAGTCTCGGCGTACGTCGTGACGGCGTGCGTTGCAAACGGAACACCGAGCGAGTATTGGATCATGGGAACCGATGACATGGAATATGGGGGCTCGTGGTCGGGTGGGAGCTCGCGCCACTTGTGCACACTCACATTTCGATTCGTGTCGATGCCAACGCACACGTCGCCGTCGATCGACAAGTACAAGAGGGGGCGTCGACACCGACTAAGTCGGCACCGAGGGTACCCGACAAGCGACGTCAGTGACTGAAAAATGGGACGAATCAAATCTGTGGCGAGGTACCGCTTTGGGTGCGGGCGAAAGAGGAGCTGCGGCGGGGTCTGGCCAAAGCAATCGATCTGGCGCAATGTCGTTTCGTACAGGTGCGGATCCGTCCGCTTGAGCTTCTCAAGATCGACCGCACCGTCGTAGGTCAAGTGAAAATACACGTTGCACGCCGTGACGGCATGCGACGTCCCGCCGAAGAGTGGCGGACGCTGCTTGTACCCAAAAATAAGGTCAACCCAGTGGTGGAGATTCAGAGACACGTATTCGCTCTCGAGGGCGAGTCGATGCAACCGAATAAACTCCTCGGGTGAGTCGTTCGCCCATGGTGGAAGCTCGACGTGGTGAACGACCTCTCCGTTTTGCTTGGTCCCGAGGGGGTCGCTGCTGCTGTTGACGAGAAAGTCGGGCAGGTAGAAAAATTCGGGAATCAACTCGCGAACGTCGCTCGGGTTGGACGTGCAGCTCTTGTACGCGGCATCAATCGAGTGGAAAAGCCGATCTGCGTGGTCCAATTTGCCTAAAGCGGCAGGGTTAGATGGATAACAGCTTCTTGCTATATCGAAAAATGCGGGGTCGCATACCTCCTTGGAGACGCCGATGATAGTTCATGAACGGCTGTAAACGAACGAGAAATCCAATCACAAACGCAGACGTGGAATAGTGTGTGCCGTAATGAAATGGTGGCAGCTGAGGCATGTCGTCCATCTAAACGGACATCATCCATGACACCCCAGTCGTTCACTCGTAACAAGGGCTACGCCCACGTACGCTGCTGGGGCTATTCACCGATCGCTGGTACTCCATGTTGAGAACCTTATACCGCTCCGTAAAGAACGCCATCGATTGATCGCTTTGAACGCCGATCGGTCGCTCCAGGTTGCGAAAAGTCGCCGGATTACTCAAATCCAACGTCTTACTAGTGTAGTCGGCCAAGATCCACGGGAAGATCTACCATCATCAGGAATAGCTCAAATGTGTGGGCGGCAATGGGCACCTACCGGATACTGCGCCAAGTCGTTGTACGTGCGACCAGCAATCGTGTTCAGATACATCAAGTAGTCAAAGTTGGACACCTTCCGCTGGACCCACAGCTCCGTGAGTTCGGATCGCTCGAAGAGCTGCCGCGGGCTACGTCCTCCAAGGTGATGGAGCCGAGGCAACTGCAGCGACCGAATCGTTTGATCGACAGCTTGGCACGTCTTGCGGTTCCGCAGATTTAAAAACAGCGACACCCCGTCTCGAAAAAACAACTCCAACGCACATAGTTGGAACTGGTACCGCCGAAACTGACTCTGCACGAGGTCCTATCATGCTTCCAACTCAACACCATCCTTCACACCAAAGAGATTTGTACCCGGAGGTACAATCGCTTTGTCTTTTTTTTCGCGGCCAAGTGCAAGATGAGATAGGGCGGTCGAATATGGACCTGCCCTGCCATGACTTTGGTCTTGGCTATCCATTCGCACTCAAACGACGAGTCGACGCCGCTATCTTGCTTGGCTCCCTGGTTTTGTTCGTCATCGACTTCATCCAACGCGAGTTTGTATTTTCTGTAAAAGTCTTCGTTGTACGAAGCGAGAGCCTTGGCTTGAAGTAGCTCGGTTGCAAGCGATATCTGTGCTTCTTGCGGCAGCAACAGCACATTCGAGGGACTGGGGACAGGTAATTCCTTGGCGTTGTAGTGACGCTTGAGCTTGACGCGCTGTCGCATATGGTTTTCCGAGCTGTCTAGTTTCCAGCTCACAAATGGTGCGACGTCGCTGTCGGGCTGTTGCCCCCACGGACCCCGTTCGTTAGTCAACGACCGCAAGATGCGCTGCCACGTATGACTCGCCAACAGCCGTTGCTTTTCTTGTGCTTCGCTCGAAAACTTCCACACGGACCGCTCCAAGCGCATCGAGTTGGACAACATGATGTCCATCGCCTTGTGGAGAGGTCACACAATTTAGTTCGAGAAGAAATACACGTACAGGTGTGGTAAGTCGATGTTTCGTACACAATGTGGACAAGAGCTCCCAATGCACCAGGGGCCACGTTGCTTGGGCTACCTACAGCGAGCAGTAAGCACTTTGTTCGGATCTGCTGGTGAGTGTACTGCAAAGATTCGTTGGAACTTCATTTCGGTATGCCACAACTCGTCATTTTCAGGTGGCATCACAGAGTCCCAGGTCGACCATGGCATGTTCAGATGTGTTTCAAGCTGTAACATTTTGAGGACAGGGTCGTCTTCGTCCGTGGCTGGCATGCTTCCTCGGAGGACAGACTCGGTCGAGTCAAGCAACAACAGCTGGAGCATGCCTTTGTGTCTTCGCACCAATTCTTGGACAAAAGGGTACAAGGTGCGGCTGAAATTGGATGCCGGCGTCGACTGCACAGCGTGGGCGGACTGTTGCTGCCTGCGCTGGCAGCGCAGCAAGTGAACAACATCGCGGATCAAGTCGACCAGCACCGTTTTGTTCCGAGCGTGGGGAAAGGCTTCGTCACATACGTATGCTCGAAGGTACGCAAACGCTTCGGCTCTGTGGATTGTCATTCCTGCGAGAAGCAGGTGGATGACAACGCGCACCATGCCGCCTTTCCGCGGAAGCCACGGGTGTGGAGCATATTCTTCCAGCGGGAACGTCAACCAGTATTGCATGTCCAATTCTACAATCGAGATTGAAACTTGGATGGACGAGGAAGTAAACTGTACGCTGTATCAAGTCGATGAGGGCCGTCGCGACGGGCCATGCAAACGTCGACGGCACTGACATCGGTGTGTGAACGTCCCCGAACAAAACGTCCTCGATGGCAAACACCATGTGCCACATGTTCGAGTGGAAGATGAACCATCTCTGGCGCTCAGAGTCCTGCGATAAATATTGCCATTTCGACGCTTTCACTGGCTGCCGGGGTGATCGCAAGACGTGGTCCGTGCTCAGCTCTTTCAGAACATATAATACCAAATCACACCGCAGTCGATATGCAAGGGCCTTGGACGTGACAAGGGCTTCGATTGACGCTGCGACCGAATGAAAGAGATACCACCCGTCTTCATTTGTCTGCAACTGGGTCAATATCAAAGAACCGAGCAGCCCAATGCACACAGCCACGTCATCCACGTTTGAAAATCGCAATAAAATCAACACCACCAGCCGTGGATACGGCGTCAAGTACAGTGCATTGCGCTGGCTGCTGCGAACGAAGTGGGCCAACCCGTTGACAACTGCCAGACAAATTCGATCGTCGCACAACAACAGCGAGGATAGAAGGGCCGGAATCAAGCTTGGGTGGTGGATCAACGACGAAGCGGGGGCAGCAGCGCCGTCGATAAGGTCGCCCTTCTCCAGCAAGCGGAAACACAGCGGCGCGAGGTCGTCGTACGACCCGACGCAGTCCATCGCACACAGCAGGTATACGCTTGCGTGAGATGTGCGCCCTTGTGTCCACTGGGAATCGTGCGTCACGAACTGGACGAGCAATTCAAACGCGCGTAATTTGATCAGTGTTGTCACATTCGTTCGTCGGAACACGAGGGCAAACAGGATGTCGTGTCCATCGATCGGTGTGCCAAATGCACTGATTGGATGCATCACGCCATGCGGATCCAAATTCAGTTCTGGCCGGTTCACTTGCTTTCTCGCTTCGACCGACATCAAACCGATCAAGTGCTGTCGAAGGGATGAAGTGGCCAACAACCCATGCAAGAGCGCGAGGAGATCCAATTTCTGCCGCTCGTCGCCCGAAAACGCGAGGAAGCCACACAGAGCGCTGGCGTCGTTTTGGTCCAAGTCAGTGGCCTTTTGCCTGCAAATAATGTCTAGTAGCTTCCACAGCTCCGACCGGACCATAACGCGGTCGTCAGAGTTCAAGTGTGTTGCCATGCTAACTTTGGTGTCGGGGTGAATCCATTCCCGCTTGTTGTAGGTGCTTTCCCTGGCTTCAAAGTGACTCGGGGATAGCGCTTGCAGCTGCATCTCGCCACCATCGTCTTCAAGGTCCCACACGTCGGCGGGTGGCGTGAACCAATAGAACAGTCGTAGGTCGTCGAGAACTTTGCGTACTGTCAACACGTTCGGCCAAATCGACGTGGAGGAGGTCAAGACCAGGCGCTGAAGAATCTTGACAACGTGAATTTGAATGTCTAGCGGGGTAAACACCCACAACGAAAAGTCCGCGAGCCAGTGCCGCAGCGCTTGGGTTTGAAACGGGAGCGACTCGTTGATTTCGCCCATGACAAATAGGTGGATCGCGTTCAGAGCTTGTAGCGTCATGTGATTGGGCGAGATGCGGCTGAGCAAGTACCCCGTTACGAGGAACCCGTGGTAGTCCTGCATGTATCGTTGGTTCGCTACGTTTGTCTTGAGGACAGCACAAAACAACTTGAGCACATTCGCATTCAAGTCGAGGCTCGTTTGCGTGTCGAACTGCGCAAAAAGAGGAAATAACACAGATATGCCACCGATGCAGTCGAGCACGTCGATGGCGCTGCGGGTATAAATGTGGTAAGTGCCGTCAAGCCGACGAGCTGCAGACTGAAGCGGGTCTGCTTCTTGAAAATTCGAGCTCGAGTCCAAAAAATACTGACCTTCCCATACGCTCGGGTTGTAGCTCCAAACCATGTCGAGATTCCACTCGTAGTCGTCGCCAAACAAAACGGTATCTGGTCCCATCTCGTGCATTAACATCACGTGGTCCTTCGGCAACGGCTTCTTAAAGAAATACATGGCACCCATCATCATTTGGCCGCAATAGTCAATGGCATGCCGACCAGTTGATGCTGGGCTCGGTGTGACGGCGCATGCAATGTTTCCAAACGCGACTGGACCTACGCATCATGCTCTGGTTCGGTCTCGGTATCGCGTGCCATTTGCTTTACCGTCAAATTCCACTGGCGGGATATCGCCCACCCAAGCGAGGTCGCCATTGAGGAAGATGGCGAGTTCAGGGCGCAGGCGAAAGGTACCTGCCGAGTGAACGACCGTGATACAATACCTACATCCCAATAATCAACATCAAAAGTGGCTTCGCTCACTCGGGTCGTACCAAGTGGTTTCCTCGAGCCGAACGGTCGTTTGCATGAGATTGCCAGCGGTGCCGTATTCGAGGTAGCCATGTCGAATCATCAGAGCATGGCCGTTCCCGTGTTTGTCCAACCATGAAAACACACAATGGCGTGATGACGGCGGGGCGTATTCATCCAGGCGGAGCCACGTGTGAAAGGTAAATCCTTTGGTGGGGAACGGAAACGGTGCGAGTTCCAAACCACTTTGATCGCCGTCAAAGAAGAAGAAGCGAGACGGTTCAACGAGGCCCACATGACGCTGAATCATGTAGTACAGCGCATCAACTAGCGGCGCGACAAGGTTCGACATGGACGGACGCTGGAGCAGCCGAAAGATGCGTTTGAGTTGGTGCACCCCCACCGAGTGCCACCCGATTTCGACCATGACGTCGATCACTTCGGGTAGATGCACACCGCCTTCCAACGCATCCAGGAGCTGGTCTAGCGTGCCTGGTTGAACGTAGCAGCACATGGACCGATTCAGGACGTCGTACGACGAGGGGTCGAAGAGCCGTTTGAACTGCTGGAGAAATTTGACCTGGTCCTGCCTTGTGCAATGCCGAAACAAACAAAACAAGACCGGAATCGCGTCCGGGTTGCGCACGCGACAACTAGACAGGTCGTTGTCGAGCATCATGGTCCACACGACTTGCATCGATTCCCACGACGGCACCCCATGTTCTGCCGCCAAGAATACGTCAACCAACGGCTCGTACGCGACGCGTTCGTGGTCATCTCCGGTCGTCACCATCAACGTGCGAAACTCGGCTTTCGATTCTCGGTTCTTCGCCATCAGCAACGTGAGGACGTGGCACACCTGGCGCGTGATGTGAATGTGCGTCTGCTGTTCGACAAACCGAGGCGAGTGCAGCAAGTTGGTCAAATGCACAAACGCGTTGCAGTCTCGAAACAGCTTCTGGAGGTCCTTGCCAAACGACGTTTGTGTTGATAGCAGGGTCGCCACACACCCCACCATGCTCGCAACAGTTGCCTCGACGTCGTCGCTGTCGTTATCGTGGCACGACACGAGTTCCGAGATGCTTTGGATGAACGATTGAAACATGTGCACTCGCAAAAAGTCGAATCGGTCACCGCTGGTCGAATGGTGGCTCAGGTCGTGTACAAACATGAGGAATGTGGCACTCGCCAGCAATGTCGACAGCATGTCCAACACCAACGGGACACATTGGCGCTGGCGCAGCAACGCAAACAAACAGGGCAGAAATTGCTGAGGCGGGGTCGATGATGCCGACCGCTGGGAGATGAACTCTCGATGGAGCACCGCGTTGGCACTTGTTCTATCGGCCATCACGTGACGATGGAGCAGTCGCAGCACCGACAACGTCGCGACCAACTGTAGCCTCTGGGTAGCGTCGCGGTTGCCATGCAACGTCGCCAGCACTGCCACGAGTTTGGAAAAATTTGCGGGCGAATACACAAATGGATGCAGGTGGCGGTTGTGGCGGGCAATGTGGTCCAGAACGCGAGTGATCGAGTACACGAACTGGAGCTGGTGCTGATATTGCACGACGGTGTCTGTCACTTGGTCCACAATCTCGGCCTTGTTGAAGGACGACTTGGCTATGGCTGCAAATAACGCCGACAAAAGCGTGTGAATGTAGACATGGGTGCGAGTGGCCGTGCGATTTCCCGTCAGGGACGCTATGGAGACATCGTCGTGGATGCGCCGCGGTGTCGCCACATCTTGGAGGATCGTGCAGGCGTCAGGGAATAAACCAGGGTGGTGCAGTAGAAAAATCCACGCCTGGTACTTGCGCAGGACGTTGGGGAGGATAGTGCTGGCTGGGTTGACGTCGTAAATGCGCTGAAGAAAGATCGACGCGTGGAGTTCCACCGATAACCCGTGCAATGTCTTTCGCGATTGCTTCAAAATGTCCAGTGACACCATCACAATGTGCTCCAGGAACGTACACGTGTGGTTGGCATTCGCCGTTGATACAGCATCTTCATGTTGGATCGTTGGGCAAACATATGCCACAAAGAGCATGTCAAACAGCGCCTTGTAGCACCGGTTGGCCATTTCAAACACCACTGTCGTCATGGCAGTTTGGCGATGGGAGGCATGTGGAATGGGCGGACAGCTTGCGACGAAGCCAGCCATGCGCCATAGAGTCGATTTGTCTTGGCAGCTCGCGCACCATGTGAAAGGTTGCGCGGAGTCCAGTGTATCGCACGGAATTGAATCGTGAGCGGTCAAGTCAGTCGAAATGAGCCAGGGCTGTGACGCGATGGTGGAGGAGGTTTCTGTCTCGACTCGGGGCGTGGCCAACATGGCGAGTTTCATAGCTTGGTCTTGAATCCATCGCACCGTCGATGTCAAGAGCGATAGTTTCTCGGCCACTAGAGCCCACTTTGACCGATACGGTGGTGCGCTTTCGCACGCTTCGAGAGCAACAGCAACAACCAGTCTTGCGAATTGCGCTTCGTCCGCCAGACGACCGACGCTCGTGACGTCTTTCGTCGTGATGAGTAGCATATCAAACAAGGTCGTGAGTGTCGACTCATTCAATTCGAACGAGATCCATGACGAGCCTTTGGCAAACCCGAGGCTGCGTTGCACGCAACACAGTGACCCAAGCAGCGTGAGGAGTCGCAGTTGGAGGGGAAGAAACAGATTTGTCGTCGCACTGTCGTGTGTTCTCGCTCGGTGCATGACTTGAACGATGCAGTCAACCAGAGCGGGTAGCATGGGCATGAAGCGTGGAATCATGATGTACTGGTCCATCACGGTGAAGTGAATGGATTCTTGTGACGGAGAGGTGCCGATTGACTCGATCTCACGGTGGTTCATGGTGTCCATGGCGTCCACGCATTGCATTTTGGCTTGAGGGTCAAGGGTGGAGTTAGCTCGAGCAGTGGACAATGTTTTGGGTCCATCTATGTGCTTGTTCATGTTCGTCCAGGCTGCCCATGCGTCGCTCGACCCAACCAAGCACACTTCGAGCATGGTGGTCCAATGCTGCAGTGCCTCTTCCACTGCTTCCAATGATGTCGCTTCTCCTTTGCCGTCTTGGGTAGAGTCCATCCACGTCAGCATGGCACCGCCGATGCGAACGAGGAAGTCGGTGTGAAGTCGCAGCACCACCGCTTGATTCCGCTTCCACCGTAACGCTTTGGCCAGAATCCGGAACGTAAGCACCAAACGCACTTCTAACCTCGACGCTTCCATGTCCAGGTACAACTGACCCACCACCGCATCCAGCGCGTCCACAGGCCAGTCACTTGTGCTCGTGTGGAGTTCCGATCTTTGCAACGCTTCAATGTCCGCGAGAAAGTGGATCATCCCGTCGTCCTGAGATGATAACGTAGTCATATACGTGTCCCACAACTTTCGAAAAGCCAGGCGGCGCCGACTATCACTGCATTCACCAGATTTCTTTGCGGCTCTAGCATATTCGTCGCCCTCATCATTGCTTGACATGAAAGGTGTCCTGTCGCACGACGATGCATCTTCGGCATCATTGCTTGACATGGAAGGTGTCCTGTCGTACGGCGCTGCATCTTCGCCGTCCAGAATGTCGGAGAGAGTAAACTTCCTTCTCCTAGACTGGACCAAATCATACACGTACTTGGTGAGGGCCTCGTCGTCAAGGGATGCCTCGTCCACGTCGTCTTCGTGCGATAGACCCATCCTTGAACCCGCCGACGACATGCCGATCGGAGCAGGACGGAGAAACATATGCTGCGTAAACATTAAATAATTATTTTTGCAAATAGATGAAGCAAGAAAAATCCAATATTTAGGGAAGATAGAAAAGCCATGAAAATATGTCTAAGATGATTGTGTTCATGTACAATATCATTGAAAAAGAAGAGTTTAATTATGCATTGAATATGTTGACGTCGTATACCTATTTTTTACAATTTTCACAGTAAATTCAACGAAACGCAAAAGATTTCCACAAGTCGAAAGAACAGCACGTACTTCAACTGCACCTTGACATGCAAGTCGTTCTAGGCAGCAGGGGCGGCACTGGCGCCGCATTCAGGGACACGACTGTCCCGATGCCTGCCATGCGCTTCCGATTGAACTCGAATGCAGCTCCACGCATCATCGCTGTTTCGACGGCGAGCATGGGTGACAAAAACGTCAAACCCAATCTCGCCAAACTCAACTTCACAGTTCCAATTCCCCAGAGAAGGTGGTCATTGCAAATTCCTACGTCGGCGCTCGAAATCGCCAACGTGGGGCTGCTGAATGGAGCTCCCATCGATACAGCTGCTTCTTGCCAGTCTCATCTTCCGCTTGAGATGACGGGGAAAGTGGAGTCAATCCCGGAAGCACCGAACCATATCTTTGAACAGGCTTCATGGCGTCCGCAAGCCTCAATCAGCTCTGTATTTCCTCTCCCAGCAGCAAAACCATCCATTTCTCAACCGACCACGAACCATCCCATCAAACCCGAGCCTGTTATGGTGGTTCGGACTGGTGCAAGCAACAAGCGGTCGTTGCAGCTCGACCTCGACATGCAACAGCAGTCGCGCCGACGGAAATCGTCTATGGATGAAGACCGAAGCTATGTTCCTCGCCCACCTATACCCCGCGATATGGTGATCGTACGTTGCGGTCGATTTCCTTCATTCTGCACAGCGCAATTATCGTCTGGTGTGGCTAGAGGGTACTCTTCAGTGGTCCACTGCGAAGCCTATCGGCGAGTCAGTGCACACTGTCGCCATGCGCTGACGTTCCAACTTATCAATCCCTGACGGAATTCCCAGTACGTAAACGGAATTCATTGGGGTTTTCTAGCCCGGCAAGTGTTCACTACTTTTTTCAGTTCCTTGACATTCAATACCACGTTCGACACTTGACAACATGCCTTGCTGGCCCGCACGACAGTACAAACACATCTCGGTCGGACGGTCATGGCCCTGTCACGCCAATATTCGACTTACCCCGTGTGCATTTCACGTGTGATCTCGCCACGCCAGCCGTCCTGCGACGTCCAACTTCTGCACAGACCAACTTGGTGCACTTCTTCGGCTATGGTTCAGCGAAAGACGGCCTGTTTCTCGAGGGAAAGGATGCGACAGCGACACCGCTGGCGTGGATCGACGTCGCGGCAGCATTTAAAGCGCCCAACACCCCCAGCCTGGTCGTAATCTCATCCGTTCCCAATGACGGATTCGGTACACCTTGTATTGTTGGGAAGTTGCATTCAACATGCACCACGTGTAGGATCGAAACTTGCGTCCGTCTGTGGCGTTCCCTATGTCGTTTGGGTCAATGTAACCCTCCCACGAGCCCATCACACGTTTTTGGGCTCCTTTTACTCGCGGCTACAGCGCGGCGAATCCATCCTTGCCAGCTTTCATGGCGCAAAGGCCACCATCTCACCCGTTAGAATCCCATCAACACATCATACATTACTTCACCACGCTCCTCTAACCTAGACGGCTTGTGTACTCTTTACAGCGCAACCATCGGCATGCATGAAAGGTGACCACAACCCAAACGAAGACTCGTCCATGGTGCTCTTCCCGCCACCAGTCGGGCATCGTCCTATCGGTTTCCTAAATGCGACTCGTCCAGCTGGGAGTCGTCCGCACGTGTCGTTTCCAGTCTTGGCATCCTTCACCGGGTTTCCCCGTCTTGCTCACGTACGTATCCCATCCTCCACGAATTCGAAGACGTCATTTCGACCAAATCGACGACATGTACTTGGTGCCTCGTCACCGTGCTAATGAGTGCCTGCTGAAGCAATTTGGCGAACGTTCACAGGACGTGTATCACATCTGCGCGGACGTGTCGAACCAGAACGTACGGCTAATAGTCGTTTATGGCCCTCGTGGCATCGGCAAGACAGCGCTCGTTTGTGCCGTCGCGCAGCATCTGCATGTGCGCCACCAAGTTCACGCAGTGTATGTCCCGCTTGCCCCACCAAACCACAGCACTAGCAGCACCAATCTTCATCAAAAGTACATCAATCGATGCCACGTCAATGAACACTCGCTTACATGTTGCACAGGCTTGAACGGGCCATTCAACACACCTCTCGATCCTTGTACGACGATACGAGCCATGGATATCCAACCAACTCGGGCCATCCATGCGTGTAGGCCATGCTTGATCGTGCTCGACAACATCGACATGTCATCCGACGCGGCCGCACTGCCGACGCTGTGGTCAACCCTCGCGGGAATGTGCGCGTCGTACCCGCATGTCAAGTTTCTCGTGACGCAGGCAACCGCCCCGCCGGCGAGCGTTCCACAATGGCCAAGGGGAGTGGCGACGTGGAAGGTGCACCCGCTGTCGATGCTCGCGAGTGCACGCTTCGTCACAACGCTCAAGAACATGTCCCTCGACAATATAGGCGATATCGCTTTGGATGATGTCGATCTCGTCCGGGCCAAGGGCATTCCAGCTAAGTTAGTTGCGTTGTAATAGCAACTCAACACGAAGTCAAGTCCTGGCACTCTTTGGATGGGTGGTATCAAGCAAGACGCGTGTCATTTCAGATCAGACGTTTACAAAGAGTTACAATTTGAGTCGATCAACGAGTGCCAGAACGTGCATGGGCACACCTCTCGTGGCTTGGAACACTCGACTTGTCGCCACCCACTTGGCCATGTCATCGCTCGACAGCGATGGAGTCGTCGGGATCGGAAGCTCGAGCAAGTCATAGTCCGCAAGTTTCAACGGTCGATTCAACTCTTTCTGGAGCAACTTGGCGCCGTCGACCATCGCTAGCGGCCGGACCTCCATGACATGCCCAACGCCGTCCAAATGGTGCAACCAGACGAGAGGCGTACGCACCGTCAGGACAATGTGGAGGTCGTTTTTTTGCGCGAGCAAGCGACAGACAAAATCTTCCACGTATTGGCGCAAGAGGCAGTGGTGATGTAGGGGATCGCAGCCATCGAACATGATGATGTTGGGCCACATGTCGGGATGGAGCGCCAGCCCGAGCGACGCTTCAATTCCTTCGAGGTGCCTGCGCGTGGGAATCAGGGCAGCCAGTCAACGGAGTGTCGAGTCTCACCGTGCCCACACATGCTCCAACGACTCACACGACATGGAGGTTTCGTTGAAGACACAATCGAGGATGCCACCGAGCCGGCAGAAACGGACATTGTCCCGCTTCGTCTGGCGCAGATCCAAATACCACGCCGTCGCTAGCGCCAACTGCGACTTGCCAATGCCTTCCGGGCCGGTCAGGGTGACGAGGGAATGGTCGTGAATTGCAACGACGAGCTAGATGCAGTCAAAGCTAAACCATTCCGGCAGAGGTAACGTACGTGGTGCATGTCAAGATTTCGGTATCCAAACCCGGGTCGAACGTAGTGCAACTTGTTTGGAAAAACATCGTATAGCGGAGGAGTGGGTGACGACGGAGGTGACAACGACTCGGGCGACTGCGACGACTCGTCCATGGGGACTACGCTCACTTGGCTCCACTCAAACGGATCGGACAAGTCGAGGCATTTCTCGACCTCGTCCACCGGAAACAGCACCGCCGACCCGTGCAAGTCTCTGCGACCCTCGGGCAGTAGTTGAAACTTATGGGCGACTTGGTCAGGATTGCGAGTATTTGGCAGCGACGCGACAAAGTTTTTAGCCACGTCGAACGCTTTCTGCACGGTCGTGCCTTGAGCGAGGGCGTCGTAAAATCGTCTGTAAATATTGTCAAGCCACCCAGCGGACATGAAAAGGACCCGTGTACCTTGTAAACGCGATTGCTGCCTTGTCCTCGAGCTCTGTATTGCACTTGGTTCCAACGACGTGAGGGACTCCAAGGGCCACGAAGGCTTGCGCTAATCCATGAGACATCAACGTTCCAGTTAACAAATTTCGAGCCCGACATGCAGCTTCCTGCTGCAAATGCTTCACTTGAAGAAGATAAAACGTGATGCAGTGTCGTAGTGCAAGAGGTGGGTGGAGCCATGTCGTCTATGTACCAATGTTTTCCGAGGCACAGGACGCGACGAACACCAATTTGAGGGTCAGCGGAGTCGGGAGCAGCTCGGCAACTTCGTGCGGCGTGATGGGGACGGCGACGCCGCTGTTGTCTTCGAAATACACGCAGTGGTCGTTGCCGTGGCCAGAAAAGTGTAGCACTTGGAGGCCGCGGGACCACGCCTGGAACGACTGCTTGGTGGCAAAATGCACGAGGAGGTGGATCGGCCGCGGAACTCGAACAAACATGCGGTCTCCACTGGACGTAAGCACAGGCTCCTATTCGCGCAAGGACACTTGTTTTGAACGAATTGCCAACAGGCTGATCGATACCTTATGCCGAGACGCTTCGTGGAGGCACTTTTGCAGCACGAGGCACTCGTTTCGGAAATCCAGTTCCTACAACGTATGCGAGCATATTCAGCGCGAAATTCAAGCGCTGTGCAATGAAGGAAAAGGTAGTTACCGGCAATGCGATTTTGACTCCGTCTGGATTGAATTCGACAAGGGGGGCAGCGAACACGACTCCCTACACAACAATGTTGTCGTTGCTATGTCACGTGGAGATCGTACGATCGTAGCGTCCATCGTTGGTTGCTTTGTTCTATCCACGACGACGTACTTGAGCTCGGTCCCGTTGGATTTTTTAACGAGGATGACCTCATCCCCGGCGTGTAATGTGGTGGACAAGTGATTGGCTGCAAGGACCGATCGTGAGGTCAACAGGAAATGCGCAAGACTTACGCGTAGGCTGATTGTTGATCAAGACTTTTCCCTTCCACGGGGTAATGACGAGCGCCGGTGGCCTCCCGAGTGGGCAGAGTTGCAGCGTGAAGTGGCATATCATCCGCCCCACGGACCTCAGCCACACTGGGTCAAACACATTGGCAAGGTCGTCGCGGCCTAACCCAACGAAGCCCTGGGCTTTCTCCATCACGTCAATGGTGTACAACCCCTCAACACGCAATTTCTCCTTGTGTTCGAGAGACAGGTTGCAATCGCGATGTAACTCCAAGTACAGCGGACACGGTTTCCATGACACCCACGACACTACACATGAAACACATTGCTGCCAGCACCATTCAGTCGCATATTCACCTGTCTCCATCGACGGGTCAAGGTGGGCTCGCTTGTACTTTGCCAACGCCACCGACTCGGGTTCAGGCTCGTGCGCTCGCCGCATGGTTGCCGTCACAAATGGAATTGTGCCATGGTCGTTCAATACACGAGTGATGGTGGCATACTTATTTGAAAATCCAGTGAATGTTGGTAAGACACACAATTTAAATCGCTTCGAATCCAACAAGTTGGGGCGATCAGCAGCATTTCGACGCTGTTTGTGCCAACCCAATGTGCCACGAGCAACTCCCATGCTGCCTCTGCGCCGATCGCGCCCAGGCTGGGATGATGGTGAAATGCACCTGTTCCATTCGTCTTCAATCCTCACCTCACTGTCGACGCCATTGTGAGAAGGAGTAGGGTGGCCATTCCATCGCAAAGATGCTCCTGACGAAATGTTCACACCGGAACGGTCGCACGGACTATCTCGGAGAGCAAGAGTTTGCACAGATTGCATGTATTTGATAGCATGACATGCGCCCACCACAGAACAGGGATTCCAATTCGAGACGTTGGTATCGCAGTAGATATTTTTAGCATGGGGGCGTGCTATTTGCGAGCTTGCTGGGTGCGTCACAAGTGGAAATCGCCATGGACGATTGTTGTGGAGACATTTTGTGCGGCTGCCTCTGTGGGTATTGCTGCGCCGAAGCTGCTGGGGCCGCGCGCGGGCCAGCGACGCAGCCATTTCGTGTTCCAACGTATGTGCAACCCGTGATGGTGCATCAAGGACAGTATGTCCGTGGCCCAGACGGCACATTGCAGTTTATGCCGGGATATATTCAAGGCGCCGATGGACAGTTCTACGTCCCGCAGTATGTACAGGGACCTGACGGGCAACTTGTGCAACCTGTGGACACCAACGGCCAGCCCGTGTTTGCGGTGCATCCAGATCTCCCGGAATGGGTTACCCCGAGTTCAAGCGCGCATCAGCCCCTGACTACCATCCCGCAGGCGACTCTTGTCGGCCCTCAAGCACGACAAAACGACGTGATGTGATCCATTGTTTTTGCCCGTGAAAATCGTGAAACGTCGTTTCAATATGAACTGGACTCCATCATTGGATTAAACTATACCATAGAATAATATATATTCAAAGTGGACCGAATGCCGCAGGAACACTCGCAACATGCAATTCCATCAACGACCGCACTTGAACGGAGCTGGCGCCGCATTCAGTAGGTTGAGCGCTCTGAGGAAGACCCGTGCGCCGGTCCAGCTCGTTTTGCCTGATGAGGAGGTTCTGCTGGTAATGACGAGCGGCAGGATAGATGCAACACAGACAAGTATTCTTCGTCACGGAGGTCTTGAAATGGTAGGGCTTTCCACCGCACAGCGCAAGTCTCTCCACACAGGCATCCGATGAGGCGACTTCAAACGCGAAGGTGAAAGCCGGCATTATGTCGCTAGTTTTATGTCCTCACGTGTTGTAGGCTGTCTTTATGACCAACGCCATGCCAAACCATCCTCAAGTGTTTGAGCTTCAAGTACATCACCACTGCTCCGTCTTCATGTCTTCATGTGGCATCCTGAAAGCGAGCAAGTATAGGTTGCATTTACTGTGGTGGCCATCCTCAACTTGATCTTCACGCTCTCGTTTACATCTCCACCCAACAACAGTTCGCACAACCCTCATCTTCACAGAGACCTCATATCACTGCTAGCGCGAGCCTGGTTCAACACTCGGCCGTTCACGTTGATCGATGCTACTACCCCCAAAGTAGATGTGGCCATGCCAATACCGATGATGTTGTCATCTTGCCTGTCACTTGCTTTTGGTACTGTGGTAGTGTGGCGCAAATCGCCCCTTCTTCTTCGACTATATGTCCTGTGTAAGTGCCTCGAGAGTACATAGTCTGTTCGGTATACTCATCTCCATGCTAGATTCCGTTCTTCAACTACTGGCATTGATGCAATGCATGCTAAATTATCTGGTCATGCTTCGCACTCCCTTCGATATTGCCGTCATTTGTCTCGCGCATCGCGTGCATTCAACCACGGTAAGCACGAACTGGTACCCACACACTCCAGAAGTCGCTGCACGCAGCGTTCACGTACGCTTGAATAGGTCAGTCGGTGGTTTGTCGTGGGTCGTAATGGCAGGTAATTCTCAACAGGCAGGATGTACGGTAAACTTGTGTGATCTGCCGAAGATATCCGGGGGATGGAAGTACTGCTCGAATTCGTTAACGCCTGCAATGCTCCAGGCTTGGTGATTCATGGAGCGAGCGAGGGCTTTGGACAATTTTGAATTTAGATGCGGCTGTCATTTGCACTTGTTGCGTTTAATGTCGGGTGAAAATTCAGCCGAAAAAGTAGTTCATGACCAAGTAAAACCCAATGGCGTACACAAAACGGGGCACTGTAAACCCCCCCGAGTTGTCGATCGAGGGCGACGGCTGAATGAGCTCAGCTTCTTCGAGAGTTGGTTGCTGGGGTTGTTGCGGGGCAGCTCCTTCTGCGACACTACCAACGGTTGAGTGCTTTTGAGTCTTCGAGCGTCGTGCGGGATGACCAATTCCTTGCAGCTCTGCATTCAGTTGTCGCATCCCCATCAAAATCATCTATTTCGACGTCGTCAGCGACCGACGGGTGATATCGCACTGTACCTTGTTGCTCTTGAGCAGTTCCATACTGAGGTCGTAGTTCTCCTGCACCAGATTGCGCACGTAGAACGCGCCCATGGAGCGACAACCGTTCATGAATGGCGGGTACAACAAGTGCATGAACTGCACAAGCTCGTACACGGTGACTTGAGGAAAGAACGTCTTGGACAGTCCAACCTGTGGCGAATGTGAGTGGATGACTGGGGAAGATTCAACTTACCTTGGCCAAAGTGATGTTGATTTCTGCCACGAGCATGAGCAAGCAGCCCGAGTACGCCCACGCGCGGACGTCGGGTGCGTCGCCAAGAGTCAACACGTACGTCAAAATGGCCCACACGACATAGTAAGAAAGCAGCGACGTGATCTGTCCCAGATCCGAAGAGGACGATGATTTGCTTTCGTCCTTTAACGCTTCGTCTTCACCGTAAAAGTCGTATACGTCGCGTTTTGAGGAGTCGCTCAGGATGTCGTAAGCCACGCGCAATCTCTTGAACTCGTCCGCAGCATTCGGAGACGGATTCTTGTCAGGATGGAGCTCCATCGACCGAGAGCGGTACGCTTTCTTGATGTCAGCAAACGGCGTGTCGCGGGAGACGCCCATGACGACGTAAAAATTCGGCGGGTTGTTAGCCACTTCGTATCCGATAGAGACGCTGGCAATGGCGATGAGGAAGCCAATGGAGTACAATATCGCAATGGACTTGGAAAAGCGGCCAGGTGTGCGGATCCAATTCAGGCCGGGGTTTACCACCGTCGTGTGGATGAGCATCGTCGACACGAACTGCCCATGGCCCATCGTGTCGATGACCTGGGTGTTCCTTGCTCGAATATGTGAACAAGAAACCTGGTGTCCACGTAGGAGCTGTCCAATTGGCTAACCACTCCATCGTGCAATTTGATTCGTGGATTAAGAATATAATTTCATTCGTTCAAAAGCCATAGATGTATGCGATCATTGGTCGAATTCAAGATTATTTTGATTGGACAACGTTTCCACGTGAATTATGATTGGCTGAAAAAGAGAGTAGTTCGATTGGGCAATTTTCGTTTCTCAAGAACAGCAACTTCAACGCCCCGGCTTCTACGGCATGTTGACGTCACACTAGGCGCATGCCACGTCACATGGCCGAGCACGTCGCCTCCCGTGGCTATGTGTCCTCAATGCACGGGATGCAAGATGCACGTGTTGAAGGGGCCAAGGGGTCGTCGACGCCATGTAAGGGGGATGGGAAGATTTGTGTCGGCGCGGGCGAGATAGACGGCCAAGTGTATATTGGGCGTTGGTGCCACGTAAACTGGCGGTAATTCTGAACGGATCCTTCAATATTCTCGAAAGCGCTAGGTATCGAGCTTAACAACGACATTGAGCAAAAGAAGTGCTTAACGACTTTGAACTAAAGAGATACCCGCAAACAGGTCCTTTGGAGGGGTGCCACAAGGTGGCCAATGATCGAGTTCGTGGACAAATACGTCGTTCGATTAGATAAGACATTGAGCTGCACCGCCGTCACTCTCCGAGTTGGGCGCGCGTAAATATATAGGAGAGTCGTGTGTGGTCCCTTCGACGACGTAGTCCGCTACACCTGGGAGTTCCTTCGCATCATCACAGTTTGGATCTGAGCAATGTACTCCTGGCAGTGACTTGGCAGGTCATTCTTCGCCGTTCGTTTGAGCATCAAGAGGCACTCGGACTTGCTCATCCGTCGGCTGGATTCTGTGTCTTTGGATTCGGACAGTGACCCGAACGTGTTGGTGTCGATCGTATCGTTCGGAGGAAGGGTGAAGGTTGGTGTGGGAATGGGGATAGCGTCGGACGACGAGAAGCGTCGAGAAAGAGCTTGAAACACGGACGTCATGAAGAAGGGACAGCGGCGGCGGATCAGTCCCTCGGTCTTTCGCAGGTTTGGTGCTTTTCGATTGTGCTTGGCAGCGGCGTTGTTCACAGTTTCAGAAAAAGAACCGACAACTCTCGGGTCCACACAAGAATTGATTTGATTGGTTCATGTTTACACTTGAATGCGCATGATTGGATAAACCATTCTTGACATGACCTGATTGGCTGAATCGGAGAATCTGCCCAAAAAGGGTTGACGCTCACAATGTCAGAAAGCAAATACATGATTTCAAAGCAATCTTTAGCAATATTGTATAATGCACATTTTAAAGAAACATCGCAAGGAAAATGTGAATAATAAGTACCTTGGAAAATTCCTGACAAACGGATAAAAAATATGCATCTTTACCTTGCAATTTTGCCTCGCGGTTGCAAAGGATTTCGGGACAGCCGACGAGCATACTGTGGTGCAGGAAGTAGCGGATGGACCACGCAACTCAATATTAGAGGTGTGGTAAAGGGGGGCAGGATCAGCTGCGGAGCGACCAGAGCTACGTGCCGACGAGAACCAGTTCGCCGTTGTCCCAGTGCTAGGCGGAGGAGATTCAAGTGGCCTGTCGAACAACACACTCAAACTTCTTGACGTTACGAGGATCAAATGAAGTATCGGTACAACAAGAGCGTTCGCTTGAGCCGTTCTTCGTCGTCATGCTAATGTGCAGGCTGTGTTGCGCAAGGGCCATGTGCCGGCTCTGGGATTGAATACTAGGTCAACGCACAACCAAGTGGAATTCATATTGGAATTCACATGGATCGCCTCGACAAATGAGTAAAGTGCATATTTCGCCGGTAGAATCCAAGTGGTCGAAACGTCGCTATCTCGTCGGTTTCAAGCGGTTTCACATGACCCCACACATCTGCGTTCAACAAACTCACGACGTAAGGATCGGTTGTCTTGGGTCGGTCCAGCACTATGACCGATCTAACTTCAGACCCAACGAGTCATGATGGTGTAGACAGCATTGCTGGATGGGGTCGGTGGATGCACAGGCAGGAACCATCGAGGGATGCGCTTCGAAACGTATGTGTCGTGCGACATTGACTTTGATGAGCGTCAATGGATGGTCCACTGCGAGAACGTAGTGTCCACCGAAGACGACGCTACTCAGTTGAATGCATGACAATGTATTTATGGAGTTGGGGCGGTCAAGCGTCAAAAAGGATGGGCCATGACAATACTCACGTCCGAATCGATGTCATGTGCGATTCAATGTGGGCATACAAGTAGTTCAGTGGATGCAAAAGTGATCAAACAGGCGTGCAAGACATTTGAGTGTTTAGTCAAGTAACGTTGAGACCCTTCCAGATGCATCCCCATCCTTTTCTTCCGTCGCCCTTGGACACAACCATCATGGCATCCACAGTACAGCGTGCAAAGCAGTCTTGGCGGAGCGTGAAAGCAGGTCGCTCGAGTCGTCCGTCAATGCAAGCATGACTTTCTCCATTTGTGGTGTCCGCAGTAGTTGGCGCGCGGGGGGGTATGACGCAATGGACGCGATCAGTTTGAGCACGTTCAACTGAATACCAAACGTTTGTCGATACAAAAGCTGGAGCAACCCTGGAATGGCGCCACCTGCGGCGGACACGATCACTTCCGTTCAATGCGTTGATTGCCCTACCTTCTTGGAATTCGCGCTTAGCATCATCGTGGATGGTAAGCGCCATTAACGCCCCAGCGCTTGCGATGCACACGGCCGGATCTTTGTCCATCAGGACTTTGCATAGTCGCTTGACCATGCCATGGGCCATCGCGCGGTCCCGACCCCGGTCCAAGTACATCATGGCCCCGATAAGTTGTAACGCTGCCACTTGGATCTAGCAACTCACGTTGGTCACGCAACTTGGAGGCATGCAGGCAATGTACCAACCGGTTTGGACTTTGCAAACACGAATGGCGACACCAATTCGACGCCACCGGCTTCGACAATGCGCACGACCGTGCCGGTCATCGCGTCGTTCACGAATGCTTTCAGCAGTCGAAGCGTGCGCAACGCAATCGAGTCAGAGATCGGCTCTTGCTTCAGCTTCTCCAGGATGATGGCCACATAACTGGACAACAATCCGGTCACCAGCTCAGGCTTGCCTAGTTCTATGATGAGGAAACCTTACTTGTTTTGCGTCAATTCTTGAGCTCCCGACAGAAGGGTGCTCACGTGCAGCGCCGTGTCCAGCAAGTGTAGGGCTACGATCTCGTCCGTGCGCACAAACGCTTTCACGATCTTTCGCATGGTGCGGCGTGCAATGAGGTCGGCGCGGCCGTTCGCATGGCTAGATATCAAGTTGAGGCATGCGGCAGACAATTTTTGGACCTCCTCGTTGGCATGGTACACCAACTTTGACAAGGGCTCCAAAATGTTGTTTTCCTCGATGAGACAAGCCACCACGTCGCGAGGGTTTGTCAGCACCCCCGTGAGCGATTTCAACGTATGAATCAACACGTGCACGTCTTCGTCGGCCAGGAGACGTACTAAACGCGGGCACTTTCCAGCTCCGAACGCTTCAACGACTGCGTTGTCTGCGATCGGCCTGGGATTTGCTTTTGCCTCGGCACCGGCCAAGTGGATGTACGACGTCGTGTCGAATAAGGTGGCACCCGGACATCTCAAATGATTGATTTTGGTTATCGCCGCTTCTTTCGCCGGCGGCATTGGCGCCCACGGATTAGAGCAATGCGAAACCGTCCGCGCCTGTAACCGTTTCACTACCACATCCCAATAATACCCTGCTTGCTACAGCGTCGCTGAAACTTAACAGGACCTCGTGGTCAAGAGTTCACCGCATGAAACGAGTACGTGCAGCATGTCGTTGGCCACAACATCGCTCATGATGGTGCTCGCGTCTTCATTGTGATTGCCCACGATGGAGGTATCAACGGCAGATGCCTGGGACCCCTGCGAATCGCAGTGATCAGAGCCATCACCTTAATGTACAAAGGGGTACCCACCTCCCTTACGCTAACGGAATAGACATTCTCTTTCACGACCTCTTCGAGTTGGCCGAGGCAGTTTGTAGACATTCTACCTTCCGCCTGTGATGAACATCTTGCCATGGACGTTCAATTTTTGATGGCACTGCACGCACTCATTCTGTCCCGTGGCAAATTCTTTAGCAGTCAGGCGCTTGCCGTGTATTGCGGCGAGATTCCAGAGGTTGGTCATGGGGATTGACCGTACATGGCGTCGCGCAGAACCCTTTGCGTGTTATTGTGTGATCGCATGCTAGTGATTCAGGTGGGGGCGTGAGATTCATTGGATTTAACTGCAATGCCGAGGTTGAGGATTCAATGCCACAAGTGCAAGCCTTCATGCGGTGGGGCACTCTCTCGAGATACAATACAAACGACGCCCGAAGCATGAACAACATTCCGATTTGATCCAGCGAATCGATGCTGAGAGGTCGAACGAACAAAGGGGTGCGAGATTTACACAGACTAGGGCGTCATCGCAGAGTGCTGTCAGCGCGATTTCTTCATTTTGGCAATGTCCAGGTGAATGCTAGAACTCGAATCCGTCTTTGTGGAAGTCAAAGTTGCACTGGTAGCTGTACCATTGAGCTTCCAGAACGAGGCCGGGGGGGCCGCACGCGAGCACTCCCACGGACGTCGAGTTCACACTGAGGTATCTCGTGGTGTTGACAACTTCATCCATCACGGGTTTGCCAGGGACGTATGTGACCGAGTCACAAGAACGGCGACAAATGACGACTCCGCCCGTGCGCGCATGACTGACGTAGAACGTCGCACGCACGTTTGATGGGAGAGGGAACATTAGGTCTTCAGCTAGGAGCAAATCGTTGGCTGTGCGGACGACCCAGAAGAGATGCAGTATCTGCCTCCCTGGCTGGTGTCTGTGTCGATTGATCACGTTAAGCATGGGGGTAATGCCAACTCCCCCTGCAACGAGCACCAACACGTCGTACTGGGTCAAATGAATAGACGGCTTCCCGTACGGCCCGCCCACGAGCAAGCTCAGGGTAGGAGTCGTGGCGGCGTGGCGAACGACGCGGTCGACGAACCCGCCTGCCCCCATGGATTTCATGCAAAACGCAATCGACTTGCCATCCCGCGTGACGATGGCTGTGAACGGATGCCATTCGAGGAGCGAAATCGACGGCACGTTCACCCAAAAGAACGAGCACGGGTTAGCTTGGGTCGCCCACTTGGTTGTTTGCGCCGACGTCGGAAGGGTGACCAGCACCGACGACGAATCGTCAATGGTCACGACTGCTTCGTGGCGATTCCAAAACGCGACGATACGTCCAACGGCGGAAATGCCATACGCAATGAGCGGACAGATCAACGTGTATTGCACCGTGGGGCAATGGAGCAAAATAAAGACGAGGCCGACAACGGATGCCACGCGGTGGTAGTAGTAAAACACTTCGTACATGCTGCGCCGAATGGGCTCCCAGGCCAACACCGTCATCGATGCAAACGCGACAAACGCAAGGAGGCCGTACAACGGGACGACCTGCAGCGTGCCGTACGTCGCGGACGATGTGGTGTTGACCCCGTTTACCATGTTCAGCACCAAATGGCCCCCGCTTGTTGCGACACAAAAGAGACCGAGCCATCGATGAAATTTGAGCAGACGCTCATACGAGGTTCCAAATGCGAGCTCCCAGTGGTGCCCACGAGCGACGGGCAAGAGCAAGCTTGCTAACGCTTGCAACGCCAAGTGACCGAGAGCCAAACACCATTGATGGAGCGGGGGGTGGTCATTAAATTGCACATGCACGATCCAGCAAATGGCGATGGCACCCCCAACGTATACGAGCACCACGGCGGCTTCCCCCACATTGAACGGGTCTGTATAGAACATGGACACTCGCTTCGATGGCGCGATCAAGATGACTCGGGACCACCGGTGCCATGGATTGACGTATGCCGCAAGAAGGCCAAGCGTAACCATCACGCCGAACGCGATCACCACAATCATCGGCGTGGACGAGGTATATGTGATGCCCTCGTCGTTGATCTGGGACGCTCCCAGGAGCACTTGAACATCGCCAAATGCTACATGCTTGGTCGGCCATTGGCCCAGTGCATATCCCCATATCATTTGTGTCACACCCGCCGGGTCCAATGCAATGTCGTACGGAGTTGTTGCTACCAAGGGTCGCTCAAATGTGAACGACAGGAGGCCGTCCGCCGCAACACTTCCATGGATTTGCACGATGCTCGGAAGCCCGGGCTGCAGTGGGACGCTGTCGTAGCTCTTCATTAGGTACTGCTTCATCAGCGCAGTGGTCACGTCAAACACGACCACGTTCGAAACAGGCGTGTTGACCATGTATTTTGTCAAGGAAAACCCCACCGACACCCATCGGACCGTTGCCGCGTTGGGAAAAATCACTTGCGCGCAGAGGGTGGTGTCCTTGATGAAGGTGCGCATAGAGATAGGGCCGAGTGAAAAGGTTGGTTGAAGGCTAAACAAAAGATTGTCGGAGCAACCCGACGTGTTTGTAGTTGCCGTCGCGTTGCCCCACACGGTGGATGCTAGAACGAGTACGAAGGAGACGCAAGCGAGCATCGTGGAGGTATCGTCGAGCCAATCCTCGTCCCAACTCGTCCAAGGACAACGGATCACAAGCTTGGCTTGGCGTCGTTTCCAATGATTGACTTCGGGTTCCGAAAATACCAGGTCAATTGAAACCGTAGCAGTTACCCTTGCATGATGAAACCGAACGTCATGCCCAACAAGGATTTGCTTGAAGGATCGCCGCTGGCCTACGTGCAGACGTACCTTCCTCAACGCCCAAGCATTTCTTTTTGGTAATGCGAGCATAGCGCTAAACGCTGCAGAGATGATGTCGTTCGCGCCAAGAATGATCGTGCTTTCGTCCGATCTGATACTGAGGTGTCATTCGTCATACTGATTGCCACGCCAGCGATGCCAGGGTGCAGTGCCGATAGGCCGACCATTGCGGTAGCAAGCGGCAAGACACATTTCGTATTGCCTCATCAAACATCGCAGGATAAGATGGCGAAACGCCATAGCGAGCTGGCCCACATTGGCTGCCCCATCTTGTTCAGACGTCAACCCTGGCCAATGGAATGCACCTGCGCCATACTATAAATATGGTCAACATGTCGGGTTCGAATCTTCCACGATGTCATGGTCGTCAAGGCGATTATGGCACCGCCATCCTAGGATTGTCGTGATGAGTGGCAAGCCCGGCGTGATCGACAAAGCAGCGGTGCTCGAGTCATTCAAGACACGAGTATTCGCAGTGTACCCCGAAGTAGACTTGATTCAGGATGGCTTGGTCGTTCCTGGATTTCTCGATGCAACACTCCTTCGGTACTTGGAAGCTCGAAACTATAACGAGTCCGAGTCAATGAAGATGCTCGCCGACACGATGACGTGGCGGAAAGAATTCCAAGTCGCGACCATCATGGCGCGTCCCCTACCGCCGGAAAAAGTCGCCGCGTTGCGCAAGTATCACGTATGTTGCCACCGTTGGCACCGATTCGACTGCACTAAGCTGTCGCGCTTACTAGCCTCAAGGGGAGCATGGAGTTGACCGCGACGGCAACGTTGTGTACGTGGAGCGTATTGGACACCTCGATGCCGAGCAATTGCTCAAGCATGTCACGCTGGAAGAAGCTGTGCACTACCACATTCAAAAGTACGAACTGCAGCATCACGTGACGTTCAAGGGCGCGGTATGACCCAACTTGGAATCGTGCGAATTTACGGTTGCATCGATGGGTCTAGAGCGCCACACAAGGGCGAGTGGTGAACAAGATGACGGTCATTTACGACCTACAAAACATTGGCCTACACACGTTCAAGAAGGTCGTGTTCGACTTTGTCAAGGAAACGAGTGCGATCGGCCAAGGTACAGCCGATCCAGTGTCCCAGGCGTTTTTGACCGGTCATGCCAGATCACTACCCCGACACGCTGAGCAAGGTGTTTATCGTGAACGCGCCCTTCTTTTTCTTCACCACGTGGAAACTCATCGAAGTGTTCTTGAACCCGATCACGCGGAAGAAAATCCATTTCCTCGGCGGCGGGTACAAGAAGGAACTGTTGAAACACATTGACGAGGCCCACCTGCCCAAGTGGCTGGGTGGGTCCTGCGAATGCATTCCGTCAAAACCACACGGTACAATAAGTACAAAAGGAACGACGGCTGACGTTGGGGCGACAGGAGGGTGCATTACGTGCGTCGAAAACACACAAACCAAAGCGTGCGTCGCCATGGACGAATACCTCGAAGCGAAGCGGGTCGCGGCCGCGCTGCGCGCATCCCCCGCTGCACAAATCGACGCTCCACAGTAATAAAGCTAACAAGAAACGAAATGTTTCGTCAAGTCGAGCCGTCCGAGTCTTGCTTCATGAATAACCCCGTCCGAATGCCACGACGGAATTGACTTGAAATGTGCCGGTTGGTGGAGTGTTTGACTGCCAGGGGTCTTGAATGCACCAGCACATGCAGCGTGTCGTGTATGTGCTACAGGCTGCTGCAGAGAAACAATGTGCGCAGACGAAGAGGCTGGAGATTTTCGCGCCGCCGACGCTTGGGTACCAGCAAGCGGCGGTGCCACGTCATGACGCGGAAAATACGTACTGTGGCAGGTTTTCGAGCTGGATATTAAATGTTGGAGGTGCATAATGTGGGCATTTTAGCCAATCCAAGAGGTGGTCTCTCTATTACACACCGATATAGCAGAACCTCGTAAAAAAAGGCTCTCTTGCCTCATGTCCGGTGCCGAGGAGTACGCTTCGTCTGCGCACGGCACGGAGAAGGGTCGGGCCGTTGAGGCGAGCGAAGGCATGGATATCCAAGTCTTCCTCGCCCCCATGCAGACGGTCATCGCAAACACGCGGAATGGAGGAGGATTGCCGTCGGATTTGGGCAACTTTTCTCTCGAATTCCAAGTTGATGTTGCCGTCGACGACGACGAGCGTTTGAGTGACGACCTCGAGTATGACGACACTGAAATCGAGCGCAACACAATCCTTATTCCAGATGATCTGGATGACTTGGGCGGCGATGATCTGGACGACGTATTGTCATCGAAAGGCAGACAATCTGCCGTCTCCAGCGACGGCTGCGACAGTCTCAACGACAGCGACAGCGATATCGTGGGCAGTGACGTCGAGGGTGCAAACGAAGCAACGTCTGGGGAATTCTTTGACGAAGCACGAGATTCGTTCGACGCACGGGCATTCGAATCCGTAATGAGCGATTTGAACTTTGAGTTTGGCGACAGCACCAGTGCCGTCCAGCAACTTGCTGTCACGACCGAAGGCGAAGACTCCATCGTACATTCGCCGACTGTGAACATCCCTCATTCCACACATCATGCCAATGTCGTTTTGTCCCCCGACGATGAAGACATTTACGACGCCGAAGCCGTTGAAGCCGCGACTTTATCGTCGACGTCACTGCGCCGCCTGTCGATCGATCACTCGACTGCGTCTCTCCAGCAAGCAACAGGTGCCATGTACAAGCTCATTTGGGAAGAAGGCCTCCTCGGGTTGCGTCTCATGATGACTCCACTGTTCTTGCCGGCGGTGACAAAGATCACAGGAAAAAGTTCTATGCTTGGTATCCACTTGGTTGAAGTCGGCGACTACCTCGTCAAGATCGGCGACACGGAGACCCATCGTATGCCGTTCAAGGACGTGATCAATCTACTCAAGCAGGTAACTCGGCCGTGCCCGCTGTCGTTCCGTCGAGCTTCCGACGCCGCCACCCCACCCATGGACGTCACAACGGGTGGTCCTGGAGCTTCGAAGAACTTTGCGTGGAAATCGTCGATTGCCAAGCGCATTGCCGCCAGAATCGAAGAACTTGCGGCCGAAGAACTCGCCAAGGAATCCCAAGTACCTGCTGTCGATATATCCAAAAAGTATGCTGTTCACTGGGAAGATGGACCGCTCGGTGTGAGCTTGGTTGCTAACAAGGAAGTTCCGTACCCCCAAGTGACTCGCATTACCGGCAAGAATCGATCTGCTCAGGTGAAGGACATCGTCCCTGGCCATTACCTCGTTTCGATCGGCAACTACGACACCGCGAGCGGCACATTTAACGCCGCGATCAAGCAACTGCACGACGTAATCAAACCCGCTACGTTGTACTTCGCGCCCGATTTACGTCAAGAGTCTATCCGGCCCGAGTTGGACGATCACGACGAGTATGATCAAGACTGGGAGAAGAAGCAACCGCTCGGATTTACCTTGAAGCCGATGTCGTACGGCACGGTCGTTGCAGACGTTGGTTTGGCCAAGACGGCCAAGGTCAAGCAGCAGCGTGGCGGCGACCCCACAAGCCCGACGGGCAACCCACTTGGCGGGTTCGGTGGAGGCATCAAGGTGGGTGACGCGCTGATTTGGGTCAACGATGAATGCGTTGAAAACATGCCGTTCTACGACGCACTGAAAACGTTGCGGCAAGCCAAGCGTCCGCTTCATCTTCGCTTTCGATGCGAACATGCTGCGATCAAACGAAAAACGTCCCTGAATCGACAGGGAGCTGCTCTGCCTCCGCCGCCCCCACCACCACTTGCGAAAGACTCGGTGCTGCCCCCGTCGTCCCCAAAGCGGAAAGATCACGTCAAGAAGATCGACCAATCGACACCCCACGTGGCCCCGATCCCGCTCTCGGCAAAACTCCATGCCGCCCTCAAAGATTCGTTACTGCCGTTTTCAAAAAAGAATCAACCCACAGACAACGCGGCAGATTCAGACTCGAACTCGAGGCGAAAAAAGAAAGACCGCAGTGGACATTCTGGCGATGTGAGGAGCAGTCTGGTGGGCGTGGCACCGCCTGTGCAGCCGCCTCCGTCGAACCCGCCAGGAGAAAAACCCCACCCCGCGCGAAGTTTCTGGCCGTCGTCGTCAAAAGATAAATCCGTGCCGTCGTCGTCCCCACCACAGTCGTCGTCCATGGCAACGTCTCAAGCTGCAACACGGTCGACAGTCGCAGCCTCTCAAGTTCAACCCAATGGCAGTAGCTCGCGACATCACCATCACCAGACGTCGTATCACGTTGAACAACCCGCTCCGGTATCGTTCCCGTCTCCTCAAAAGCACGCTGCTCGTACACAGTCTGCTGAGGGGCATCCATCGAGACACATGCCCCCCCAACAGTCACCACCTTCGTCCGAAGGCAATTCGCATACAGATCTTGCCCCGCATCGAAGCCACCTACACCATTCTAGGCACCACGACCAGCATCACGTACCTTCACAGCCTCATGAAGATAGCTCCAAAGGCACTACTTCCACCACCACGAAGAATCTTCCATTTGAGTACGAAATCACGTGGCGGGCTGGCGAAGAGCTCGGTGTGACATTGAAGCCTCATCCAGAGTCGCGACGCGCCGTCGTTGCTCGCGTCTCTGGGACCAACGAAAACGCAAAGCGAGTGGCCCTCGGCGATGTTCTCTTGGGTACTCTCAAAACTTTTGAGTTGGGTTCGTCATGCGTTTTCGTCCGTAGGAGCGAACGGAATCCCATTGCCTCCACAGCAAAAGTTCAAAGATACGTTGTCGCAGCTGAGTACAATGCCGAAACCAACCGTCTTGCGCTTTTTACGCCCGTCTCGCCCAGTCTTTCCCACCAGCAACCGCCGAGAACACCATGGTTCTTCGTCCACGACCCCCGCCGCCGCCCTCCCTTCCCCCGATCGCCTCCACCATTCCTTCTACGAACTGGAGTGGCCGGATATGACTCGCCTCGGCCTCTTGTTTGCCCCTCACCCCGTGACAAATGCGCCGCTCGTGTCGCGTCTCGATCCTCTTGCCCTTGACGGAAGCGACCACCTGAAGCACGTCCAAGTCGGGGACGTCCTCGTTCAATTGGGCTCCCTCGACCTTCGCGGGCTCAAGTTTGACAACTGCATCACGGCGTTGACGGTTGTGACGCGGCCCGTTGTCATGCGATTCCGAAGAGGCAGCGCAAGTCCGTCGGCAGGTGCATACTCGTCTCAAGTGCGTCCACAGCCGTAATGGAACGGCACGCCTGAGAGATTATGAGGATCGGATGCCGTCGATTGCTACCCCTCACACTTGTCCAGACGACGACTCCACTCCGTATTTAGATCCTACAAACAACATTCAAACCAGCTCCTTGTTCATCCTTATCTGTCGTACATTCAATCCGAGTTCTGTCGTTGATACATCGCGTTGTCAAACTGCAGCGACAGATCCACCTTGGTCGGTGCAGGAGGATTATTGTTTGCAGTGCGGCGCTGCGCTGGTCCACCTGCCGCGGTCGCGTTACCAGCGCCTCCTTGGAGGGGTTGCAACGACGGCAGGCCCCCGCGACTGCTCAACTCGACTGCCGGGGATGCAGGTACCGCAGGACCTGACGCGGCATGTCCTGATCGACTGAAAAAACTCCACCCCGCGGTGGTCGTGGCGCTCGGCCCTTTCTCCAACAGGCGCTTTCGAACTGCCGCTTCTTTTTTCTTCGTTGCCACATCGTCGTCAAACTTTTGGGCGAGCCGCTGCTTTTCTGTAAGCAGTTCCTGCTCGCTAAACTTGATATCTTGATGGATGTCCGTGAACGCCAGCACGTCGATAAAGTTGTTCATGAGGGGCCCTTTCACTTGGTTTGTCACGTCCGTGTTTTTTTCGCGCTCCATACGGAGGAAATCGTCAATCTTGAACGCGTAGTGGTGCACGATCGAGAAAACCAGCATCTCGAGGCAAATGGTGAAATCGTTGACCGCCGGCGAAAGCTCTTCCGACTCCCAGCATCCATGGTACGTGCACGTCGTCGGGTTCGATTCGTCGGTGCAGTGAACGTCTGTGCATCGAATGTGCCAGTTCTCGTTGATCACGCCAAAGCGGGCGAGCCACCCGATGACAAGACTTTGCCAGAACGTAAAGAAAATGATCATTTTCACGGCCAAAAACTTGGGCAGTGGCCGCATCGGACGCAGTTCGTCTGAGCATCCATGGTAGAACAGCACGAGGCAGTACAGCGCCCACGTCTGGGATACGGTGAGGAGCAGTGTCAACCACGGGTACATCTTGGTTGGGTCCGTATAGATGCCTTCACCATAGAATCCAAAGATGGAACTGACGAACGTCATGACTGTGATAAAGATCTTGCATGGAATATACTGAAGGATCCCAATCGAGTTGTTGCGGACGAACGCGGGGCCCATTTTCCACGTGCTCATGCAGTACTGGAACCCCATCATGTGCTTTGCCTCGTGCTTCTTGCTGCGTAGCTTCTGTGCCAGGACCTCTTGGCCACCGAGGAAGTCGATCATGAAGTAGTAGAAGGAATGGAGCGCGAAACCTTCGTAGAAGTCGCGGATGGTCTCAAAGTACAGTTTTTGCTCGGGAATGGTGAGTGCCAGGTACGACGTGACAGCGTAAAGCGGCACCATGAGCAACATGCGAATCACGTACTTGCGAATCCCGGCTTGAGGGTTGTACAGCAAGTGCGTCCACACATCCCATCCACTCAGGAGAACCGTGAGCAGCGTCATCGCGGCCGAGATGGCGAAGGCCAGCGTTAGGAGTTCCATCCTTACTTGTTGCTGACTTCCGCGGTGAAAGACTGCGACTTGGAAGGCACTGGAGGGACCATTAAAGGGTACTCTCATACAAAATCCAAGAGTCGATGGTGAGCAAAGGCCGTCATATCACCATTTTCTGGGTTTCTGCTGGCGTTGTTACCCCTTTATGTCACGAGAAAAGAGCACATGAACATGTAATTACCGGAAAAAACCCATATAAAATGGTTTAAACGTCGCGAAGCTTCCGGATACGAGGTAGCATATCCTGCCAAAACAATTCCGCGCCAAGACGTTAAACTTCAACGCAAAAAGACCCAAAGTACTTTGTGCGGGATGGACATGCCCGCTGTGGACGAAGCGGCGCCAAGGTATTGACATAAATAAGCTCAATCGATGGATAGCTTGATCGGCACTTGTGGCCTTCGTCAAGGCATCGCTGGTGCTGACGGGTGCATGTCGTACTGCGCGGCCAGCTGCTGTTTCTTGGTCAGGATTTCGTGCCTTGAGCTCGTGATGTCATCTTTGACATCGGCTACATTGATGACGTCCATAAAGTTGGCCAATAGTGGCGCCTTGGGGGTCGGCGTGATTGGGTCGTCACTGGAGACTTCCATGAAGTCGTCGATCGCGAACGCGTAGTGGTGCACGATGGCAAAGATGAGCATCTCGACGCACGTGATAAAGTCCTCAAGGGCCGACGCGATTTGACCAGCACTCCAGCAATCCGTTGGGCATCCAATTCCCCACGACGCGGAGATTATACCAAGCATTTCCAGCAGCGAAATCAGCATGCTCTGCCAAAACGTGAAGAAAATGATCATCTTGATCGCCATGAACTTGGGAAATGGCTTCATCGGCGCCAATTCGTGCTCCGTCGCGTGGTAAAACAGCACGAGGCAGTACAGAGCCCACGATTGCGATACAGTTAGGATGAAGCAAATGTACCCGTACGCGACGAATGGATTGCGCAGCTCGCCTTCGCCATACACGTCGAGCAAGGACGTGACAAAGGTGACGACGGAGCACAATATCTTGACAGGAATGTACTGCAAGATTCCAATCTTGGTCATTCGGACGAACTTGTTGCCCATGGTCCACGGGCGAACGAGGTACTGGACGCCAAGCATGTGCTTTACTGGTTTCTTGCTTCGTAGTGTGCTGGCCAGCACAGATGGACCACCGAGGTACCCGAGCAAGAAGTAAAAGAACGAATGAAGGGCAAACGCCTCGTAGCAATCACGAATCGTCTCAAAGATCAACTTGTGAGAATGGAGCACAAGAGCCCAATACGACGTGGTGGCATAGATCGGGACCATGAGCAAGATCCGCAAGATATACTTTCGGTTCGATGGGCTTGGGTTGTGCGTCAGGTGTGTCCACATTTCCCATCCACTGATGAGCACCGAGAAAAACGTGAACGACGCCGAGATCGCATATGCCAACGTTTGCACATGCATCGTAGCGGATGGGTTTCTTCGAAACTGCTCGTGGCGATGGAAAATTGGTTCCCAAAGGTTGTACAAAGATGTACATATTGGAAAAATCTCTTCTCACAAATATTGAATTATACAGTAACTTGAACCCGAGATGTGACGGCGCATGGCCATTTGCGTGAACGATCCGTTGCAAGAAAGCGATGATAGACCTACGTGAACCATTCCAACTTCCCTTGAGACATCGCGGCCCCATGCGAGGTTTGTGGCGTTGCTTGGATGGAGCTCCAGGTTTCCACCTCCATCGACTTGATGTTTCCATTTTCACAAGTTTGACTATGGCACGCGTCGATCATGGGCATCCAACGTGTCATGGAGATGTAGAACAACAAAGAAAGCAAACTAGTATGTGGATTTGTGATAGCTCGAGGGAAGCAAGATGCGATTTACTTTTCGAGAAGAGTTTGGAGTTCCGCTTCCGCTGGAGGAACTTCATGGTCAAATTTCTTGGCCAAAGCAACGTTGTCGGCGTCGTTTGCGGCGTCGATTTCCTCAAGTTCCTCCAAGGACACAAACTTAAACTTCTTGGTCAAGTGCTCAAGGGCCCCTTGCAACACCGCGACAGACCATGGTCGGTCATGTACGATCAAGAGACTGCCGCACCGAGTCAGCGCTCGCAAATGCCACTCGTTGACCTTGGCAATCTTGATTTGCGCGTCGTGAGGATAGACGCTGCCCATGACGAAGCGATAACCGTGCTTTTCTGCGACGCCTTCCATGCCTTTGTTGAACCACCCCGAGCCAGGACGGGCATACCGGACACGGCTACATGCGCCCGTTCGTCAAGATTCATCGACGACGACACGCCGCTCACCTCTGGTATTGCAACAGCGTTTCGTTGCACTGCAGGAGTTTCTTTTCGAAGACAGGTAGAGAATCCTTGATGCTTGCTTCATCGCGGACAAAGTGATTGCCCAACACGTGCCCTTCCGCGACGATGCGCTTGAGAATGTGTTCTCGACCGGCAACATTCCCATGAATGATGAAGAACGTTGCCTTGACATTGTGCGCCTTGAGGACGTCAAGGATCGCTTCCGTCGAATCACTTGGTGCGTCATCGATCGTAAGCGCCGCGATGGGAAGCGTGGTGTTCGCACACCATATCGCAAACGGAAACCGTGTCCGAAGGACTTGAGCAAGCCAAGCTGGTTGCGTGTAAACCGCATGGAGAAGGAGCACGAGGAACACGGCAAACCCGAGCTCGATCCACAGAATGTACGGCGACACCGCTTCAAAGAACCCCACCGCAGCCGGCGATGTCGTCGCAGTCAGATTGACTCCAGTCATCGTGCTATCAATGACTCGATTTGGCGAATGCACTGAAAAGAGTGGGAATTTGTAACAAGAAAAACCGACATAAAATACATTCACAAGGCAGGGCAGGGAGTATTTAAATTCAAATTTTCACGGAGACTTGATTCATGTATGATGCGCGGCAACTAAAATACGGGCACAAAGAACTTGACGTCAGGTTGAAATATATATCGACCTCCGACGCCTCTCGCATGCCCGACGGCGCACTTCACACCCCGCGGCACCCGCGGCAGCGTCTGTGCTGTATGGGCCTAGTGTGATGGAGGAGAATCACAGGCAGTCTTTAGGGAGTGGTCTGTTTGGTCACTCGGGCGTTGACCCACAACGATCAAGGTGGAACTAAGGGATAAAGATTTTGTGGTATGGATGTGTATGGAGAGCTTGTTAAAAACTACGCCAGGCATCCTGCCATGCTGTTGCAAGACAACTGCCAAGCAGCACGCCAAATCTAGTTGGCGTTTTAAAGGAACTTGGACACGCCGTCGGCAATGGTGGCAAACTCCAATTCGGACGCGTCAGTGGCGTTCAGGAAAATACCGACACCCACGCACACGCTCTTCAAAGCTTCCTTGGAAGACGAGTATACCATCTTGTTCTTGATGGACGCGTTTTCAGGCGACCTGTGTCAAACCTCTTAAAACCACACAGTCTAAACTTTGCACAACGTACCACGACACAAACACCAACTTGGCGACGGAGCGACCGTCTTTGCTGGTGCAATCAAGGTCAATCACACCGTGTCGGCATTCGTACACAGGGTTGGGTGCGGTTAAATCACCCGCCAAAGCCTTAGCAAAGTCTTCGTAGGTGTGTTCGCGGGGACCAGTCTTGTCGACAACAAACTCGTTGTTTTCAATTTTGAAGGTAACATAGCGAAACTTGTGGTCGGCCGCTTGAAGCTTGAAGTTGTTGAACGTGTTGACGGCAGCGTCACTGACACCCACTCCAGAGCTCTACAGCCATGCATCCATCGTTCATTCGTCGCGCTGTTCGCACTCGCAGCCCATCGGCCACACATCACGTACCATGTTTTACGAATTGACTGGAAAGGAAACAAAACTAAAGTGACGGTTGTGCAACGTGGAGTTTGGGGCCATTTTTTACTTGACGATTCTATAACGAGGTTCCCCACATACTATCAGTCATATGCGAATTTGTGCACAGCCAGGGGCAAGAAAGAATGTGCACCGATTGGTCGAAAATCATGTCATCGTAGTGCCGGTCGCTTGACCAACGTTCCTGCGTATTTCTCAACCTGCAAGAGGACTAACGAAGCCTAATCCATGGAGACAATTGGCACAGCAGATAAAGAGGGCAAATGGATCTTTCATGCGCGTCCAGCGTATTCTCTTATTGTGTGTTACTCCTGTACTGCGTGCAGCCTCTTTGTGAGTACCATGTACTTGCTTCGATTATGCCTAAAATAGAAATCCTCAAATTCATAAAGACGTGAAAAATACGCACAGAAACTCCTTTGGGAAGTGAGGCATCCGGATAAGACCAGAGGTTCAAAGAAACGTGTATATGACGTGGCGCCGCCAGAGCGGGTCACGAGGTTGGTCTTGTTGACCAACAACTAGTAGCGCTGCGTAAATTTGTATTCGACGCTCACAAGTGGCTTAGGAAGCGCTCACTCGCCCAAAACAATCGCAACGTCATCGTGCATCAAGTTGCGCAACGTGTACACCACATCCATGGCGCTGGGTCGCTTGGTCGGGTCTGTGTCCAGGCACTGCGCTCCCAATGCGCCGAGTTTCTCATCGGCAAACACGATCTCCATCTTGCCATCGACTGTGCCGTCGCTTGGATCAAGCTCTTTGTCCAACGCCAGTAAAAACACGCCGAACGAATACATGTCGGCTTTCGTCGTGGGCGGCGACTCCATCCGTACAATTTCCGGCGCGACCCACGGCCTTTGCCCACCCGCATGGCCACGATCAACAGCAGGTAGCCGCAACGCTGCCGTCCAATCTTCATTGATAAAGATTGTGTCGAGCGACAGATTGAGGTGCACGAACGGTTGACGTAAAAAGTGCAGGTAAGTCAGTGCCTCCGCGACATCTGTGGCCAAACTCAGCTTTCTGTCGACACGTTCTTGGACAAGCGGCTTGGCGCCGTTGAGGAGCACGGACCGGACGCTGCCACGGCGGCAAAATGCCGTCACAATGCTGAGTGTACCGCTGAGGTCCCACGTGACGCCAATAAAGACCACAATCTTCGGATGGACCAGCGTGGCATACATGGTCAAAGTGTCCACTTCGTGGTCACTAAATAGGGGCTTCACGACCACCCATTGCTCCCCCAATGTCCCGATCGATGTGTCCCTATACCCACGAATCGCCATGAGTCCGCATATCCGACGAACCCGGCAAGCCGTCGCCACGAACACAATGCTGCTACGATATCTCACTGCTGGACGAGCGCCTTACCCGACATAGGGACTCAAGTCCGCGACGGAATCGCACGGAATAGCAAATGCCTGGAACGATGGATTCTGGACGAGAAGCTTGGGGAACTCGGGCGTTCCAATGCTGGACGAGTCAAAGCTTCTGCTCGACAAGGTATGACTGGCTGTCGAATGTCGCAGCCGTGCATTGTATGCCCCCATGCCACTGGCGCTGTATTTGGGACGGTTGCTGGAGTACGATATGTCGTCGGTCAGTGGTGGTGGCGACTGCGATCGCGTCGACGCACGTATCTTGTCTTTTAGGCGACGGTAGCCGTAATAGGCGAAGGCGGCGATGCAAACGGCGCCACCAACGAGTCCCAGGACTAGCGGCAGCATGGACGTCGCCGACGAATTGTCCTGGACGCACACATACACGGGATTTGTCTTGTGGCTGGTCGACGTCTTTCGAGTTCCGTCGGGGCATGTGGTCGTGTCGGTCATGGAGGGCAGAGTGACCGCATTGACTGCGTTCAACTGATTGTACGTGTCGGACGAGACGACGTAGCTGCCGAGGGGATTGTCGTTGAGGAAGAGTTTGCTGAGCTTCGAGGGAAGCAAAGGGAAATTGTTGAGAGTTGTGAGGCCATTGTTGCTCAGATCCAATGTGTCTAATTCTGCCGGCCACACGATTGAGCTTTCCAGGGATCGAATGAAGTTTTGGTTCAGATTGCTGTGTGGAATTTTTGAGGGTTTTGACAACTGGAAAACAGGAGAACTTACAGCACGTGGAGCGATGACGGCAGCGTCTCGACGTCGGCGCGCGTCAGGACGTCTGTAAAGTTGTTTTCCATCAAATACCTTCGTCGAGGCAAGCGTAAGGCGACCGCCGCTCACTCTAAGGATGCGGGAAGAACGTACAGAGTGTCGAGAGTCTTGGCGGCGCCCAACGGCAACGACGCAAACGACCCGATTTTATTCATCCTCAAATCCCTGCACGAACCAAACGTCGACGCGTGTCAATGTTGATACACACACACAACATTATCGTACAGAGTCTTGAGGGCGGCAGGGAACTGCGTGCCACGCGAGAACCGCTTGAGTCGGTTGTCCGCGAGGTTTCTTTGTGCCATGTGAGGAAGGGTGAAACAACGGCATGATGCACTCGTACAGTGTCTGCAACGTGGGCGGGAACGTGACGTTGTCAAGGAATTCCAGGCGATTGTTTCGCAGCAACCTAGCCCATCGTGACGATTGAAGTGATCGCGTCATGCACGTACATCGTCGTGAGGTTGACCGTCGCCCATTCGGAAGGGTTGAATTCGTTCATTTCGTTGTCGGAAAAGTCACTGCACAAACACGTTATCGCGATGTGGTGTCAGGAAATCGTACACCAGTTCCAACGTCGGTGGCAAGTGCAGCTTATTGAACGCGTTGGTGGGGTAGCCTTGCAGCCTTGCTTTGGTCAACTTGCTGCGTGATAGATCAGAATGAAAAATAAATGCTGTAGGGGGGAACGCGTACAATTCGCGAGTGCCGACAGGGACGGTCTGGTCCACTAACTTGACGCCTCGATCGAGGTCGTCAAAGTTGCTATCTCGTTCAAAAACACACGCATGAGCCACTCGGCATTGTCATAACGCAGTGCTTGATGGAGATACGACGTACACCGTCTCAAAGGACGCGGGGATGACTGCAATGTCCAACACTTCCTTGATGTCCTCAATCGTGATGAAGCGGCTGCCGGACGGGTTTCCGTTGGGAAGGGCTGTGATGTATTGTGGTTCGCACTTGCCATCCTTTTCAGATAGAATGCACACTTCGGAAGTGCCGGACGCACTATTGCACATGGTGAGGGCCGCCGTTGCTCCGCACTTGAACGCGCCGATCGAGGGAGACCCATTGGTTGGCGCGTCACGGCGAAGGCTCTCCTTCCTGGCCTTGCTTTTTTGGCCTTTCTTGGTTGCGCCCTTCTTCGCTTTTCCGGCCGTCTTGGTGCTCTTTGCAATGGCCTTCAACGCGTTCTGCGTCTTCGCCTGGTCGGGAGCAAACCCAAACACATAATGTGTCTGGAGCAACTCCTGTCGCTCCGAGGACAGATCTAGCTTGGTTTTGCTCGGTCCAGTCTTCTTGCGACTGTTTAGGCTGTGCGCTGAAGCCTGGACAGCAACCATTATTGCCAGGGCCGCAACAAGCCATCGCATCACGTGCATCTGGTTGCCGTCTGCCGAGATCCTGTGTCATTCACGGCTCTCACCTGCAATACGAATTTCCTCACCATTGCGAACTACTCTTTTGAATATTTATGACCAGAATACTGATGCATCAGGTTCGTAAAGCATACACAATTTCTCACCAACTGGACCAGGCGCGACATGACGACACATCCGCCGAGGACCTCGCGAAGCACGACGGACGCCATAGACCGCGATGCCGACGTTCATGCGAGTGGAAGGGCCTAGAGACGAAGATGATGCGAACTAAATAGAGATTAACGCCGCGTTCGGCGGCAATGCTAGTGAAAAGTCCGGTTGGTGGAGACGGTCGATACAAACTCCGAGGTGGACAACATTGACGCGTCGGTTGTCCACAAGTTGAGCTGCGAGACCACAACAGCCATGGTTGGTCGTCGCTGTGGTTGTACGTCCATGCATGCCAACCCAAGTGCGCGCACATGAGGTAGACATGTCGGGGCAAACAAGTCGCGGACTGGAACAGAGTTGTCGGGAATGACACCTCGGTCGAGTACGGCGAGGAGCACACCAAAACTATACACGTCTGCCGCCATCGACGTGCCAGAGCCTTCGGGAGGGACCCAAACCCCTTGTTGAGTACTCGTGATGGAGGGGCCCATCATGCATCGAGGAAGGTTTAGCTTCGCTCGACCTCTTCCATCCAGCAAGATGCAGTTGGCGGAAAGGTGGCCTACGGATTCGTGGCAGTTGTCGTGAATGTGTGCAAGTGCTTGGGCCACTGCATTCGCCATTGGCAACTTCATAGAGTCCCCGATAGACTCCTCGGCTATCGCGTCAAACAACGAACCGCCAGCCATGAACTCTGTGACAAGTGCGAGCGACTCGATCGCGTCTGGCTTCCACGTGATGCCATAGCATGCCATCACCGACGGATGGGGATGGTCTTGAGTGGCTGCCAGAGCTTTGAAGAGTCGATTCAAGTCGCGAGTGGTGTTTGACGTGGTGTCTCGCAAAGACACGAGAGCCACCCGTTGGTTCGAACACACTGCAATGCGAACCCGTCTACTTGCACGCAGTTAGCCCGCTCCTGTTTGGCGGCATGGCTTACCCTGCGAGTGTGTGGATGTCGTTCAAGGCTTCTGGAGGAATCGCCCACGCCGTCCATTGATTCGTTTGCAGAATGGATGGACAACGTGCGTCCGAGCATCGCTGGAGGTGTAACCGAGGGCACAGATTTCCACTACGGTCGCTTCCGACTCTTTCTTCTCCTTCCGAGTAGGCAGATGACGACGGAGACGATCCATGCTCGTCATTTTCGGGGCTTGTGCTGCCATCGGCGGCCGTGCGCTCAAGTGGGCAGTCGTGCAACGTCTGGTTCATTGCTTTCGGCCTGCAATTGGCGCGACGCCGAAAGCGGAACACAAAAATCGCCGTGAGAAGGACAGTGCCGCCTAAGGCACTGCCGAGGATGGGCAGTATACTTGTCACGAACGATTTTTTGGGAAGTGGCGCCGCAAGGACTTGAGCAGTGTCAGGAAGAACGCACAGTTCAAATTTGAACGGGGTCATCCGTTGGACTTCGCTCCCCTTGCACTCTGGCGCGGGCACCGTCGCCGAGACGCGGGTGCACTTGACCAAAATGTCAAAGTTGCGTTGGGTGATTCGCGCGTCGGTGAGCACATTGCCTTCCAGCGTGAGTGTTTGGAGGGTCGCCGGCAGCGTCAAGTTTAAAATCGACGACAGTTTGTTGTTTCGGAGTTTGAGTGTCGTCAGCGCTGGCGGCAGCATAAAGTCGGCGTCGATGTGGCGAATGTTGCACAGGGTAAAGTCTCTACTCAGCGAGACGCTATGGGCATGGAACGGGGTTGATTTGGATGGAGCGTACAACGACGTGAGGTTTGCAGGCAAGGCGTCGCCACTGGCTTTGGTCAGCGCCGTGATCCGAGGATTCGATCGCAGCTCTCTACAACACGGAAGAAAAATGCGTCGGATATCCCTGGAATTCCCGTCCACGCCGACGAGTTCGTACAATCGTTTGAGTTGCGTCAGGTGTCGCACGGGAAGCGCTTCGACAGTTGCCAAATTATTGCCCTCCAGTCGTCTACAAAGGAGCGGTCAGGACGACGAGATGAGGGCCGCACGGGCAACGTACAAGACCGCCAGTGCCACGGGGAATGTCGTGTTCAAAAAGGATTCCAACACATTATTCCGCAAGTTCCTGCAGCAATGGCATGAGTCGCCAGTCGCTATCGACTTACACTCTGTCGTACAACGTCGAGATCGTTGGCGGGAACGTGGCATTGACAAACGAGCGGAGGAGATTGTTTTCGAGGAATCTAGGCGAGAAAACCAACACCATCAATCGGTGCTGTCGTTCGATGGTCACTGCACATACAGATCCACGAGGGGGAACCTGGCCCAGTCGGACGGGTCGAACGACGTCATCAAGTTGTGTCGAAGGGCCCTGTCGAGACAGTTGCTATCACTGAGAACGTCGTGAGGGAATGGCATACACGCGCCGCATGGATGCCGCCAGTGTGACGTTTCGGAAGTGGTTGGTCGGGTACCCCTTCAAGGACGCGTTTGCCAGGCGCCTAGACCGCCCACCGTTCAAACACCGTTGTATGCCATGGTGAGATGACGATGCGGCGGCGTACAGGGTGTGGACGCCCTCTGGAATCGTGATATTCTCCATCACAAGCGCCTTGAGGTTGGAGAAATCCCTATAGTTCCAACCACCGCGTCACTAGAGAACGAACTCGCTCTCGACGTACAAGTGGTGGGTGGGAGGAAGGCTGTGCACTGTCAGGGTCTCCGATATATCTTGAATCACAATGCCGGGGGGGATCTTTCCATGACCAGCCACGGCGTAAAACTTGTCGTTGTGGACAGCGGACGGCTGCTTCTCGCGGAGGAATGAAACGTCGCATTGCGGAGGCGACGTCGCCGGTACGAACTGTGTCATGCAGCTCACAGTGTTCCTTGAAACCCGCTCGACGCACGCTGTGAGGTGCAGTGTGGTGGCACAAATGCCATAGCGTTCCGTCGCGGCGGTATCGTACCGAACTTGGTCAGGTGTAGAGTAGGTGCTGAGCTCGAGGGCGGAGGATTTATGTTTTAATCCATGGGTTGGAGTTTTCGCCAAGGTCTCCACTTGACGCTTCATGCGCTTCTTGAGGACTTTTTCCTGCGTTCGCGTGAGAATGGAAGGAACGGCAAGTGGGGACAACGCTGTCGTATGCGGGACCGTGCGTTTGGGCCTGCGTTTGCGCATAAGCGTCGGAGTGGTGTCATCTTCGTCTTCAACGTTGTCCTTATCGGAAGTCCGAGGTGCCGAGTGTTCTGACCGATGGCGACGATGTCGAGCTATTTGCAAGCCATCCTGTGCGCTGCTGGCTCGTGCCTCGACGAAAGGCGCGGCAGTGATCAGCAAGAGACACCAGACCCACCACTTTAGAAGACACATCGTCGGTACACTCACTGCTCGCTGGCGTCGCGCACGTCGTGTGGAGATGTCTGTCGTGGAAGCCGCCTGACTACACGCGTATGGACAGGTACGATGGCCCCATCAGGTTCGGCTGGATGTTGTTGGGTTGGACAAGTATCACGCAGAGGTTCTTTGGGAAACTTCCCCATGAAGTGCGATGCGCACTGCATCGATCTCAAAACGACTTGGTACGAGTCTAATACATATATTTGTTTAGAGCTCTGGTAGGAGTGGTGTATTAACGCTAGAATTTACTCCATTGGAGTACACATAAATCACAGGGGAAAACGCTGCCAAGGATGTATCGTGAGAACGCCAGTGGTCGTTGCCTAGATCATTCAAAGGAATTCTCCCAAGGATACGTTTCAACCATAAGTAGGATCTTTCCTAAAGGAATCCGGTCATCTCGAACTCCTATAAACATCGTACGGAGAGTCGCCGAGTCGACGCTGAATCGCGGTCGAGGGCGGCAAACGCCACGGCTTCGTGTGACCATTCACGAGAAGCCTATCGTGTTGCGGACGCTGCTCCATGATCCATTGGTCAAGGGATTGCAATCATGCAACATCATCGCATTGCCGAGTGGGCTGCGGTTGTCCTAGTTAGGTTGGGCGACTGGGCACTACAACAGCCACGTGCTCCGAGTAAGCATTGTTCGGTTGATTTGCGTTGTCGTGCACTGTTATAGCACGGTGACCGCCGGACAGAGCGATAGTTGTTCTACTTATGAGTCAGATCAACTCGAGCCTAGCTCGATCGATCCAAACACACCGCGTGCTGTCGACGACAAGCCCCGCGTCCACCCCAGCGTGGCCTGGCGCGATGCCGTGCAAGGTTGCAGCTTCAAGAACGCTAGTTCCCTGCCGCAGTGCGTAACTCGCTTTGCTGGCAACAAGAGTTTCGACGCCCGACACCGATTGCCTTTGACAATTATATTTGTATATGCATCGGACGGCAGTGATCCTCTCATTTGGTCGCGGCTGCCTGTCGAGCCATCTCGCGAAGCTGACACGCCACGTCCATTGAAGTCGGCCGGTCCGGTGGGAACACGTGCAGGCATTTGGTGATTAAAGCGCGCAATGGGGCAGGGCATTGTGGTGTGAACCACTCGACGTCTGGGCAGTGCTCGACGACAGACATACGCCGTCTCCTGCTGGTGTCCCCCCGCAGTGCCTCCGCCACAACCCCCACGGCGTGTTCACTCCGTTGCTGCTCATTTCCTGGCAGAGATTGCCGTTCCAAAGTCGAGATGAGGATGCCGAGCGCGTATACGTCGGCCTTGCACCGCGATTCGTTGTCGCCCGCCAGGTCTTCGTCGTTGCTGAGTCGCTCCGGGGAGGTCCACACCAGTCGGTGGGCAGCCTCCACGGCCCACACATCGTAGTCTTTGGTTTCACCCCCCTCTTCCGTGTCCGACGCCGTGGACCAACGCGATGGCGCTGTGACCCGCGGGAAATTCACTTTGGCGGTGCCGTTGTCCATGATAAACACTTGCGTGTCAGAAAGCCGATCATGTACGACGTGCATCGAATGCAGAAACAGGAGGGCGGTCGCGACGTCGGCGGCAATGGCCAATTTCGTCGCGAGCGGGATGCGTTCGTCGCTGCTGAGAAACGTTTGCAGGTTGCGCGGGCATCGCTCGACAACACACGACACAACCATGTCGTTGGACCACGTGATGCCATACAACGACACAATATTCGGATGGGACAGCGAAGCTAAAATCTGAAGAGTCGCAGGTGGGTTGCTCGCTTGCAGAGGCTGAAGCACAACTGGGCGGTCACTCCACATCCCAGCGTACATCCTGCGCACATGCCATGGTGAGGAGACTCGGCAGTCCGGGACGTACGTAAGAAATGGATGGACCCCAGTCAATGATTTGCCTGGAATGACGAGCTTGGTCAATGTCGACATGCCTGCAAGCCACGTCGGGGTGTGGACAAGGTGGCTATCGATGCTGGAGCAGCTGGCACTGCTGCTGACGCTGCTCTTCGCACTGGCATCGGACCGCCTGCTGGCCAAGATGGCCGTGTCCCCCGGGAACGACACAATGGTTGGTGTTACGTCGGTCGTGTACACTCCAAACGACTTGTTGGTCGCATGTGCATCGTCGACGGTGTATCCACCGAAAGATGGGTTGGTCGAAGCAACGACGGTTGTGTAGCCCGCAAAGGATTTGTTTGTGGTGGCCACCTCGGTCGAGTACCCAGCGAACGTGCTCACCAACTGATGCGAAGACTCGGTTGGATGTTGTTCCTGCGGGCCAAGGCGGCGAACATGGTATGGCTGCGACGAAGAAGGAGTGGATTTGTCGTCGGGGTCATGAAAGGATGGTGGAAGGAGTCGGCGGCGGCGGAGCAAGCACACCGCCATCACGACGCCCAGGACTCCCACGATCGCACCAGCGACAACGAGCACGAGTTGAACAGCTCCAACTAGTTCAAAACAACGTCGATGGTGAGTCAACGGGACAAGTAAATCGATTGGGTTCGTACAATTTGGCGACAGAGAGCTGTCGCCGCTTGACGTGTTCTCCAACACAGATGTGGACGGGTTGCCGACGACACACACGTACGAGGTATTCGCGACAAGTTTTTTTTCCGTGCCAGGGTCGCACTCCATGTTTTGGGTGTCGGCGGAGAAGTGCGCCAGTGCCTGGAGTCGTTTGAACCCATCCTGATTGACCTTAAAGTCCATCAGGGGGTTTTCGGAGAGGTGGAGGTGGGTCAGCTTGGGCGACAGCACGAGCGCCGAGGGGAACGTCGTGATGTTGTTTCGAGACAGGACGAGCACTTGCAGCGACGGCGGGAGGGAAAAGTCGGACGTAATTGTGGTCACACTGCAGTCGAACAAGTCCCTACACCCGACATGCAGAGCTCAGCAGTGATTTCGGTGGAGTGCAGGGCTGTGTCGTTCGTACAACTGAACGAGTGAGGGCGGCAACGCCTTTGCGGCAGCGGCGTCGAGTGTCTTGATGTCTTTGTTCTCGGACAGCTCTCTAGAATAGTATCATGCACGTGTCGAAACACAGCCCAAGATCGCTTACAAGAGGTCCAGTTGAGGCAGATTTGCCACGGGCACGCTGTCGATGCGGTGCAGCTTGTTCTTGCCCAAACGCCTACACCGCATGCATGAATGACTCCACTCCACAACATCTCTCAAGAGAGGTTGTACAAGGAAGTCAACGACTGTGGAAACACTGTCCCGGCAAAGCTAGAGTCCGTGAAGTCATTGCTGCGAAAGTTCCTGGCACAACAACAGGTCAGACTAGAGGCAACCCGAAATGAACGTACAGCGAGGTGACTTTTGACGGAAAGACAACAGGGCCGAGGGTTGTGAGGAGATTGTTGGCAACATTCCTGCCATCGAGGCATGAGCGACGAAAGGCCATGGCCATGCAATTCAAACACACGTACAGGCTCTCCACGGCAGATTCATTCCAGTCGGACGGGGCAAACGTCGTCATTTTGTTGCGCATCAAGTTGCTACAATACGGTGGCTGAGAAAACCATCACGGCGTCAAGATGCTCGTACATGCGACGCAAGGACAATGGTAACGTAATGTTGGCAAAGCTGCGACTCGGGTATCCCTTCAGGTTCACGTTAACAAGGCGCCTACGTGAACTTTCGTCAATCGAATGATTCGGAATGTGCATCCAAAGATTACAGGGTGGTGGTGCCGACCGGAATGGCTTTGCCCGTGAACGTCACTTTGTCGAGGTCGTGCAAGTCACTGCAAAGCAACGGAGAAGTGTTCAAAACTGAAATGGCAATCAATCGAGTTGCTCCGAAACGTACATCAGGCTCGTGTTGGCAGGAAGTTCATCCACAAGCAATGGAACGTTGATGTCCTCAACGAGCAAGCCACGTTCTCCAGGAGCCTCGTCAACCTCAATCGAGTAGTATTTGGACGTGGTAGTATCGCCGCGGGTACCGCGTGGGCGAACGTAGTGGATCGTGCAGTCGTCACCAAGTTTGTTCAATGTGGTGACGCACAGAAAGGACTTCTTCGTGGACCGTTCCGTACAACGCGTCAAGCTCAGGCCTTCCTGGCACGTCCCAAAAAAGGTTGTGATGTGGGAATCGTTGGGGTTCTTGTCTTTCATACTCTGAACCTGGCTGTATTCGTCTTGAGTTATCAGCGTGGGGCTTGCTCCTCGCATCGTGTCTGGATTGCCATTCGAAGGTTTCGCATTCTTCGTCGCCGACCGGCCACGTTGGCGCTTAGCCTTTCGCACCGGTTTCTTCACCGGCTTCTTGATCTTCTTAGTCACCTTCCTCCACGTCTGCTTGCCCTGCGGCCTCTTTTCCTTCGTTTTCTTCTCCGTCGTCGCCATGCTGTGCCAATGCATGCATTGCGATTGACAACATGCACACGGACAAGGCGCCCCGGGGCGCATCAAAATAGAGGGATATGATTGGGCGTTAAATAGTCCTTTTCTACCAATCATCTAGACATATGCCATTTCCAAGAGTCTGCAGCAAAGTCCAACGACATGTGTGCATTTGCGCTTCTTTACCAAGAACTATCGGTGTTAACCATGCCGCCGACCCACTTGCAATGTCGTACAGCAAGGGGATCTTTGGCATCTGGGAGTGGTAACTGCGGCCCAGCGGCCTGGTTTTTCTGATGCGCATGAAACTTTTCAGCGGCCATCGCGCACCAATCACAAGGCAGATTGCTGGGTTGATGCGGTTTGATTGGTTACATGACTTCATTGTTGTGCTGGGTTGTAAAGGAATTCACCCACACGTTATGGCTAGATGCACTTGTACAGTTGCTCGGAAGGCAGACAAATTTCACCGTGCAACAGCTCTGCCGTGATGAATAGCCAAGGGTATGGAGTGGGTACATACACCCCCAATTTTGCTTGGGGTGATCCAGAACAGAACTCAAGGCAACGCCCATCCCAAGTATTGCGACGGCAAACAATTCTAACGTAAACTGCGATTGGAGCCCAGGGATAACACTCGGAAGGTTGCGTTTCAGGTTGTCCATCGCTGCTAGAAGAGATCTTAAGCCATGCAATTCCTTCATCGACAGTGCCATGCATAGGAGGATGTGTTGTGTCTGCAACGGTCGTAAATCGACCAACACCACGGCCAGCACTCATCGGACAAATCGTTTGAACAGAGCGGTCGCCGAGACATCTCAACATGTTGTTGTTGGTTATTTAGTGACAAATGGCCCTTCTTGATGTTCATATTTCTTGCTGTCGTCGTACCCCCCAACAGATGGGGTTATTGTGGACTTCTGTCTAAGACGCCAAGGCAGACCGAGCTTTCCGCTGGACTTGGGCGATGGAGTATGCGAAAACGTTTGCTATATAAGGTGGCATGAAGTGAAGTCATCCAACCATAGGCAATGGCTATCCACGATATGTTCGAAGCAGGTGCAGTGTCAAGCGGACTTGCCACCTGAAGCAGAGCAAACCATGCATGGAAGCCTGAAATGCGGCTGCTCACAGTACTCGTGTCATTGCTGAAGGCCAGCAGCGACGAAGCCAGTGCTATCGCGGTAGCCAAGCGAACCAAACGGATTGGAGCTGCTCCCAAACATCCAATGGAAACTATATACGCGAATTCGCGCTTTCGAAGCGCATTTTGTCAGCACAGGTACGTCTGCCCATGTAGCTGGCGGCGGTGGTCTCATCATGGCTAGGCAGGCTGTGCACTCGCGAAATCGTCCCTCGTGCTTACGACGGCGAAAGTAAAGTTGACAAGAAATTATCCTCAGCACGTCCCTCCATCGACTCTCTAGTTTGAAGCGCTAACCCACCGTCTATGCCCATGGCCGTCCATCACTCATCGCACAAAGAGTTCACCTTCTTGCACAACCCCTGTGAAAGGTCACAGTGCAAACAAAATCTTGTAACCCTTCCCCTAGCACCTTCGCTCCCCAGCAGCTCAAACCTCAGAAACCGAATATTCTATAAAAAGAAACAAACATCACATTACACGAGTATTCTATTTAGAACGGAATCCGTGAATTTGTAAAAGGACCATAAACCTCTTTAATACGATACTGCCAAAATTGAATTGAGACAAGTCATAAAATGATAGGATCACGTGTTTAGGGACATGAATGGTAAGTTGTCGCCATAGCTGCGCCAAGTCATTTTTGGATTTCCTAGCGAGAATTCCCGACAACATCATGGAAGGCGAATCAAAGCAAGAGTTTGACTGGCTGCCCTCTGGCACGGAAGCGCTGGCTGATGGGGAGTATGACGCGATTGTACTCGGTACTGGCCTCAAAGAATGCATCTTGAGTGGCTTGATGGCGACAAAGGGCCTCAAAGTACTGCACTTGGACCGCAACAACTATTACGGCGGCGACTGCGCTTCGCTCAACTTGTCCAACCTGTACACGAAGTTCCGTGGTGAAAACGCTGAACCCCTGGCTGGCCTTGGATCAAACCGTGACTACAACATCGACTTGATCCCCAAGTTCATCATGGCGTGCGGCAAGCTCGTCAAGATATTGCTCCACACCAAGGTCACACGTTACTTGGAGTTCAAGAATGTCGACGGTAGCTATGTGTACAAGGGTAGCCGCATCTACAAAGTTCCCGCGACGGGTGAAGAAGCGCTGTCTTCATCTCTCATGGGGATCTTCGAGAAGCGCCGCTTCCGTGGTTTGATCATGTATATTTACAACTACGAGGAAGAAAACCCGGACACGCACCAAGGACTGGACTTGTTCAAGCAGCCCATGAGCGACGTGTACGCTAAGTTTGGTGTGGACGCAAACACCCAGAGCTTCACTGGACACGCGATGGCGTTGATGCGCGACGACAACTACATCAACCGTCCCGCCATTGAGACAGTCCGCGCAATCAAGATGTACACGTACTCCCTTGAACGTTATGGCAAGTCGCCCTACATCTACCCGATCTACGGGTTGGGTGGTCTCCCCGAAGGTTTCTCGCGCCTGTGCGCGATCCACGGCGGCACCTTCATGTTGAACCGAGGCGTGGACGAGGTCCTCATCGAGAACGGCAAGGCGTGGGGAATTCGAAGCGGCAATGAAGTTGCAAAGGGCAAATTGATTATCGGTGATCCATCGTACTTCCCCAAGGAGAAGACCCGCTCGGTTGGCAAGGTCGTGCGATCGATCTTTATCTTGCGCCACCCCGTTGCCAACACGAACAACTCGGAATCTTGCCAGATCATCATCCCCGCGGCCCAGGCCAACCGCCGCAACGACGTGTATGTGTGCGTAGTGTCGTTTGCCCACTGCGTCGCGGCCAAGGACACGTACATTGCGATTGTGTCAACGACCGTGGAAACGTCGACGCCGCTCGCTGAAATCGAAATTGGCGTGTCGCTGTTGGGCGAATACGTAGACCGATTCGACGAAGTGTCGGACCAGTTGGAACCCGTGGGTACTGGCGCCTCTGACAACTGCTACATCAGTTCATCGTACGATGCCACAAGCCATTTTGAAACCACATCGGACGACGTGTTGAGCCTGTACCAGCGCATTACGGGTGAGCAGCTCGACATGACGATCAACGCCGACACCACGGAGGCGGACCAATAAGCCGTCGTCGCATGCATATGAGTCATTTGCATGTCCCTTAATGCATGGATTCATTCATTGCATTCTGCGTTGTTTCCAGGTGAATGTGCGCTTCCGACGACCGGCCAACGGAAGCAACGGAGGCAGCGGTGCTTTTCCCGCAACGCTGCTTGAAATCTTGCAGAAGTAGTTATGATTGGCTAAAACTCCGCCCAGAACCACATACTTCTCCATCCTTTTTCGACTGCAGTGAGAAATTCAACCAATCAGAAGCGAACAAATTTGAATTTTCGAGCGCCGAAACCAACCGAGGAAATCTATTCTCTCACTTTACATTTCGACCGCCATGGCCCAGCGCTCTTCGACCCGCCTCCACCATGCGCCTGGAGGACAGTCCACGATGGGCTCGTTGATCTTCGGCGGCGGTGACAACTCGGCTGAAGAAGACCGTCCTCGCCGCGGCGTACGCAAGATGGAAACCCCCGAACAACAGCAGGTCAGCAAGGACCAAGCCACCAACCAACTCAATGGACAACAACAGCAACACCTTACGGCGGAATCCCAAAATGTCTCGTCCAACCGTTATGCCAGCGGTACTTCGCAGAATACGGGCAACGTGATCACTGATCGCAGCACGACGCGCATTCACGCACCGCCTGGTGGACTGTCGTCGATCGGTCAATCTGACTACCAACGTGGCTCGTCCAACCGCTTTGCAAGTGGTTCGTCGCAAAACACGGGCAATGTCATCACTGACCGAAGTACCACGCGCATCCACGCACCTCCTGGCGGCGCGTCGTCGTTTCGACTCGGTTAAGCGCATAGTGCGTGTCAACGATTGGAATTGTAGCGACTCCCTTGAAATATATATAAAGAACAAACAACTTGCGCTTCCATCTTGTCCTAGTCCTGGATGAGAAGTTGCGGCGGTGGCGTGCACAGTTGGCGCGGATTGCAGCCGACACGCCATGAATTTCCGGATAATAAATAATCCGGATGACGACAGCCATTTATGTTACTGTGGATGCACCGTCGAGCGATTCGCCGCGGCCGCGATTTCCGTCCGATGGGCGTACACACGATGCTGCGAGACGTCATGGCATTCAGCACGAGAAGCAACCCTTTGAAGTTCAAGTCCAACTACGAGAAACAAATCATGCTGTTCGCAAGCGAAGTGTCGGTGATCTGTGGCGCGAATCCATATCGCGAAATTTCCGACGTGTTTTTGGGCGTGTGGAAGCGCACCGACAAGACATACGTGAAAGGGCTAGAAGACGAGTTGGCGCCGATGATGCCAGAGACAGTCGAGGAAAAGATGGATCGTGTGATACAGGACGAACCACAAGTACAAGCGATCTTGGACGCCCCCTCCCTATCCGTTGCAGATGTGCAAGAAAAGAAGAAAGCGGTTCAAGCTCATGTCAACGCATTACCGCACTTGACTCCAGAGGACAAGGTCGACGTGGTCCAGGCTCTGCATTCGACGCTGCAGACGACATTCGGCGCAGCTCAGGAAATACATGCGATTGAGCACTACGAGACCGAAACTCAGTCCTCGGTGCAACAACGGAATGCCAAATTCTGGAGTAAACAAGTCGGCCGTGTTCAGTCTGCGGACAAGCGATACCGCAACGTCCTTGTGGGCGGTCGGATCGATGGGGTGAGCGGGGAAAAAGTTATCGAAGTGAAGAACCGCATGCGAGATTTCAAGACCCCACTTCCCCACTACGATATTGTCCAGCTGCAAACGTACTTGTACTTGCTTGACTCTACCCACGGAGAGTTGGTCGAGCACATCAAGGCCAAGACCAAGGACAAGAGCAAGACAACGACTGTCGATTGGGACCCCGAACTGTGGAACACCTCCGTCCTTCCGTACCTTGCTCGGTTTTCACATTCACTGGATCGGTTCATGGACGGGCCGCAAGATTTGCACCACAAGTTCCTCACGTACGACACGAAGAAGCGAAAGGACGTCATTCGAGATTTGTGGATGGACAGTCCTGCAGACTTTGACGGTTGACGAGTGGCCGCCATGAACACTCTCGTCATTTAACGCCATCCACTCTGGATACATCAACATGTACACACCCTTAACTCTCTATTCGAGCTCGATCGCCATGGCGAATATTTGCGCATGAGGACGTCACCTCGCACTTCATCCGGCCCAGATGCACGCGCCGCGGTAAAAGCGCGATACACTGTGAGGAATGTTCGAATTTGAGCGGGAGTGGCTGTAGGATTTGAATTTTATTTTGTAGTTTGTATGCAATTTTATTCGAGCTCAAAATCTTTTTATTGACAACAGATATTGACAGGTCGCTTACAAAAATCAAGATATTTAATTGTCTTGGAAACGAAACGAACCTCACCCACCTTCATCGAGCGGCAAATTGTTTCAAGCGCAAGAGAGGAGTCAGTTGATGGAGCGGCGAGGAAGTGACCGCGCTGCCGCGAGGTACTTTGCGCCCAAGTCAAGCAGCCAAGGACTAGTCTACGGTAGTGACGATGGGTATACGTTATGGAATGGACCACAAAAATCGACTCATGGCAGTAACCAAGATGACCATGATGACATGTCCCCAATACGGTCGGTTGCTCAAGTAAATGGACTCAAGAGCCAAAGCTACGGTCCTACGACATCATCCGCAGGCCTTATTCCAACGATGCAAAAGTGGAAAACGAGCTCGTCGTCGCGGCGCACTGACACGAGCAGCGACGAATTGGCAGCATCGCTCGACAACGACGCCGACGACTTTGTCAAAATGGATGCGCGGCTTCAAATGAAGGTGTTGTGCTGTCGCTCTCCTGACGAAAAAGTTCGCGTGTACAAAGAATACGTGTGTGAACTCTTGCACGAGCTGGTAATGACGGAGACCCATTCGGAAGAGCTAGAGTATGAGTTGGGCCTGAAAAGCGAGACCATTGAGCAGTTGCAGCACAAAATCGAGAGTTTGATGGCACCAGAGGCATTCCAGGTACCCTTGTTCATGACGTAATTCCCGGATCTGGGGATGCTAAAGTATGAACTTGATAGACTCTTCGTGAGTTTGAAGACAGTGCCGAGTTCGACAAGCCGTATGACTCGCAAGGCGAATTGCGTGCGTTATGCCGCAAGCAAGAAGCAGAAGTGCACATCCTTCTCGAGCGCGTCAATGCTGCTGAAGAGAGAGAGGCTGCGCTGCGACATCAGGTCGCTGCCAAGGACGATGAATTGGCCCAGCTCTCTGTTGCCCATCGCCAGCTCCAAACCGATTTGCGCAATGAAAACAAACGCCGCGAGGAGTCGGACAAGAAAACGTCTGTCCTTCGTGAAAAGCTAGATGCATTGCGACGATCTTCGCAGCATCCGTCCATACAAGCAAGTCTCGACGAAGCCCTTAGTAAAGCGGCGCATTTCCGAGAAGTGGCCGAGGCGCGGCAACGAGAAATCGAAGAATATGCGGCCAAGATCAACGACCTGAATCGTCAAGTGGTTAGTCATGCCGACGCACTCCAAACATCGGAGAGCTTGTATCAAGCAGCCTTGCAGCGCCACGAAGTCGACGTCCAGCGCGTGCACGCCTCCTACCGCGACGAATTGGACGTCCTATCATCCAAGTTCAAGCAATGTGATCTCGTTCGTCGAAAGCTTCACAACCAAGTATGTCGAACGAGATTCTGTGATGGACTGTATTTCCATCGAATTCGTAGGTGATGGAGCTCAAGGGCAACATTCGAGTCTTTTGTCGCATCCGCCCGCACTTGGTGTCCGAGCGATCGTCCGGTCGGCCATTGTCCGAAGTCGGTTTAAACGTTGGGCACCGCTCGTTGGCTAGGTGCATGGAGAATGACATGGCGTGAAATAGGTGTACATGTTTCCCGACTACGACAAGGACAAAAGGCGCGTCGTGCTCGTGGGTGACGCAAAGGCCCACACGAGCTACGCGCAGCAGCTCAACAGCAGCAGCCACAACGACACAAAGAAGTGGTCGTTTGAGTTTGACCAAGTCTTCAATTGGCATGCTACGCAGCACGAAATGTTCGAGGAGGTCGCGGCGCTTATTCAGTCGGCTGTCGACGGCTACAACGTGTCCATATTTGCTTATGGCCAGACAGGGTATGAGAAGCGGAAATGAATCATGTCGCTAACTGTTGCAATTCGTCTAGATCGGGAAAGACGTACACCATGCAAGGCGACGAAGTGGCGCTCGCCGAGCACACGCCGAGTCAGTGGAATCGCATTCCTGATTTGGGCATTGTTGGTCGCACAATGTCGCACCTGTTTGCGACGTGCGCCAGCCAGAAAGACCATGGATGGGAATACACCATCACGTTTGAAATGTATGAGATTTACAACGAAACGATCAGGGACCTCATGGTGAATCCGTCGGTGCGTACAGTCGATGCAATATCTAAACCTGGTTGGTGAGGGTTCCTCTCTATTGAAATAGTCGCCCCCTCAAGACATCACGACCCAGCTGGACGCCGATGGTCGCGTCCACGTGACCAACTTGACCGTCCTTGAAGTGCGCGACGAAGTGCATGCCATGCAACTTCTTAAACAAGCAACGACCCGTCGATCCGTCAAGAAAACAAACCGCAACGATGTATCGTCACGGAGCCACTGCATCACAACACTCAAGTACGCAATATCATTCGCTTCCTTTGAATATTGAGCGATCTCTTGGGTGTAGACTGACTGGACGGCATCAAAAGTCCAACTCGATGCGGAAAGGCGCAGTCTACTTGGTGGATTTGGCGGTACGACAGTGATCTGTGGAAGATGGAAGGAGGGTCTCACGTCGTCGGTGGCACGACAGGGATCGGAACGGTTGAAGTGTTCGGGCAGCGGCAGTGACCCAGTCATGCTGAAGGAAGCACAAAACATCAACAAGAGCTTGGCATCGCTGGGCAATGTCATATCTGCTATCGCCACCAAGGTGGAACCTGATGCTTAAAATTTCTCTTTTGATCGTGTGACCTCAATGGAAACTCGGTAGAAACCTCACGTTCCGTTTCGAGACACCAAGCTCACGTATGTGCTGCAAAATACACTGGGCCACGACAGCAAGACGCTCATGATTTGCACGTTGTCGCCGTTAGAAGAACACCGCGAAGGTATGATAGAACCCATCAGACATGGCCGTTCACGTTGGGTTGGTTGTGTAGAGAGCTTGAATACCCTGCGGTTTGCGAAAAAAGTCAACGCGTGCGAGCTCGCTGTGGCTGCAGCTGCCAAGTGAGCGCCCGACCGCAGTAGCCGTGGCACACATGTAGAGTTTTCGCTGTATGATGAGTCCCCCTCGACCCGTAATTTACCATGCCTTTGCTACCACTTGCCCAAATGAAGTTGCAAAATGGCGTGGATCGAGTGCATCGATGGCTCCTTGTTATCCTGAACGATTATACACGATTTGCCAGCAACTCGACGATACTGTCGTGTTTGAAGTAACTCGCAAACTCCTCCGCCGTGTGTCCGTCCTGCTCGTGTTTTGAATCAAACCAGATTGACATGGACGGGAGCGTCTACCTTGTTCGTCGCAGTGACGTCAGTCGATGGATGGGCCACGAGGAGCTGAGCAATTGCTTCTTGGCCTTCTTGCGCAGCAACCATGAGCGGTGTTGCCCCATTCTATTGACTTGATCAGCCACCTAGACCATGACAGGTCGACAACATGACCACTCACCTCCTTGTCTTTGATATTGCAATCAACGTTCGGGTGATCAAGCAAAGCTTGGACCACGTCCACTTGGTCGCTCATGACTGCCGACATGAGGGGAGTCATCCCTTCCTGCAGCCGTCGTTGATTTATGAAGCGCAGACTCGAATGGATGTACCGCATCTTGTTCGTTCACGTCAATGTCGGGATGGGCCAAGAGCAACCGCACAATCTCTAGATGGCCGCCGTCGCATGCGAGCATCAGCGCCGAAATGCCGAGCTAATTGCCATCTCAGCCATGGCAGGGCCGGTTGAATCACGTACGTCGTCTTGTACGTTGACTTGGATGTCGTGTTGAGCTAGGAGCGTGCGGACGACCTCCACTTGGCCGGTCGTGGCTGCCACGAGCAATGACATGCCACCTTTCTAAACATGGCGTTGGGCGCGACGTTGCTCGACGGTACATACATAAAAAATAGGTTGCTGGAGCAATTCCTGGACCACGTCCATTTGGGTGTTGTTGGTACCCACGATCCACGCCACGAGGCTTTCCTACACGCAGGCAATCGAGGTGACAATGCTGCTGCGTGCATGTACTCTGTCGAGTACTTTGTTCTCTTCAATATGGCGTTGGATGGCAGGGTATTGGAGCATCAGGCGCACCACTTCCACCTTGCCAGCTGCACAGGCTTCCACCAAGGCTGTGGCATCGTCCTAATCACATCCCGTTAGATCAAGAGATGTTGCGAGATGGTTGTGGCCCCACCGACGCCTGCAACGAGATGTCGATCGCGGGATGGTCAAGCAAGAGTTTTGCAACTTCCACGTGGCCTTCCGTGGCAGCAAGCATAAGCGCCGTCGATCCATTCTGCATCCTTTTGAGTATGATGGAACCCAGAAAAGTCACACACCAGGTCTTGTGCGTTCACGTCCACATTGGGGTGCTTGAAAAGGGATCGCACGATACCAGGTTTTCCGTCTTCGGCCGCCAGCATTAGAGCCGTCGCACCCAACTGCGCGCACACACTAGATGACAAGACGTTCGTGTCGAGGAGTGAAGCACGTACTTGGCTGCGTTCGTTGATGTTCAGGTCAGGCTGTGCCACGAGAAAGTCGACAATGTCTTGTCGATTCAGCAAGGAGTGCACCATGAGTGCGGTCCATCCATTCTACAATTCATCGTGGATACGTCGACGCATGGATAGCGGGGAATGCCGTACGGGGCTCTTGAAGTTGATGCTGACATCGTCGTCGTTGTTCAAGATAAAGCGGGCATCGTCGGCGCATTCCGCAAGCATCAAGCCCGACCAATTCTGAATGTCAAATTGCGGCACTTCCACAGTCTCTTGCGCCGGTTCGGTGGTACTTGAGTACGTCCGAAAGTTCAAGGCACGACAAGACGGTAGTCGCATGGACGCGGACGTTTGACGGTACAGAGACGCTCTAGGTTGGGCCAGTCCGCACAATGCAGATGCCATTGGAGCAAATTGCTGGTGGACAGCGCGATAGCACGCCCGCGACGCTCGGCGAAGGATTGCATGACCTGCCACGACCATGTCGTCGTCGAGACAAACAGCGTTTGCCCCACCACCACTTCAACCACCTCCCGAGAAAGTACTCAATTTTATCCAACCTCTCGTGTGGGTATTTCCTCGTGTTTATCACCATCGAAGTTTGTGGAGCAATTTCTTGTGAATTCGTAGCCGCATGAAAAGCAATAGTTTTCCAACAACCCAGAAGGAACTCGTTGGTCGGCTCGGTTCGATATAGTTGGAGCTCACCGGTACGTAGCCAAGGCAGCCACCTTCGACAGATGACCGCGTTGATCACCCTTGCGTTTAGCTGAGCCGCACCGTTCACTTTTGATTCGATCGCTCAGTGTCTTTGCAAACTGTTCATAAGCTCAGCGACTTCTGCCTGCGTGCCGTGCCGCTCCTCGAGTTGTGGTGGTGCACCAGTAGGCAGGCGGCATTGCTTTTGCATGTCGTCCATAATGGTCTGGTCTTCGTTTTCTTGTGCCGAAGTCGTTTACAGTCGCTACTGTTGTGTGGACGAACAAGGCCTTGGGTTCATTTCGCGTAAGGTATA